GTTTAATTATTCTTTTACTTATTGTATACATGCCACGGCGATGTAATCGCCATAAAATAGATCTATTTATCTTTATAGTAAGTTGAAATTACTTTAGACAACATTAACATAACAGATAAAACCATGTTCCAGTTAAACTGCAATATTTTTGTATAAAGTTGCTTTATGTTTTAATTTAAATCGTTTTACGAGTTAGAATCTAATGAAATCCCATAATGATGAGTTGCACATTGCTGTTGTGAAATGTTTTACTTCCATAATCATAGTAACACACTATTGTTTCAGTGCAATGGTAGTAGGTTGGTTTTCATGAGACTTGATATTGTGCATAAGGTTTTGTTATGCATTTACATTTTATGACCACATACATTCTATTATATCAATGTTATAGTAATAATAACTATAAGACTTATAATGCTTCCAATTTATAGTTATTTAAGTAGATACATAAATATTTCAAATTGACAGAGGACATTCAAGTAATGAGCTTTCATCTCATTAAGTCTCATAATATTATAAATGATTGCATTTCATTATTATACAAATTTTTTCATGTTAATAAATTGTGGGTTTTAAATCAATTTGTATTGTATTTTTGTAAAGGAATGCTACGTATCAAGTTTCGTGTGAACAGTAGAGGGGATAACACTTAGGCCTTGGTAGTTGTGAAGGATGCTAGAGTAGTACCTTTTTAAATACCTAGTATAATGTAAACGCAGAGCTGTGTAAATTTATGCTAAATTATTTATGAAATAGCTGTAAGTAAGGCGTGGTCTAATGATGTATCAGTTGTATGTGGACCACTATAGCTCGCTGTATAAGCGTTTGTGGTGATCCTGTAATAAACAAAAATAAAAGATACTTTATAATGAAGTTCTGTGTTTGATTTTTAGGTTAAAAGGAGAACTTGCTACCTATTTTTTTTCTTTTATTAACAGTATATTGACGATGAAGTGACAAGAACTCCTATGCGATATTAAATTTTTAACTTAGACTTTAAATAATTATTTGCGATAGCTTTCTCTAACACCCGGTTTCCGAAAGGCCGATAAATTTTAAAATCAATTTTAATCTCTTGTCAAGTCATCTGATTGGTTGACTGAATTATCAACAACCAATCAGATGACTTGACAAGAGATTTAACAGGAGATAAGTTAATTTTAGCGTTGACAAGCCTTTCAGAAACCGGGTGTAAGCCTTTGCAATATCCCGCAAACGTATTTTTTTAATTTAATCTATGCTAAAAAGTAGCTAGCTTTGTAAAAAAGTAAAATCGCACAAATGTCAGTTAGGAGCTTCCTGTCACTTCATAGTCGATATAAAAGATTATTACTTGGAATCCTTGTATACCTGTGGTCAGTGAAAGTCTATAGGATGTAAATAGCAGTGCCTGTCGGTCTAGGCCACATTGGTTAGAGCTGCTAGTAAAACAGTTTCAATTTCTCAAGGCACAGTATAAGTAACAAGAAATCGGAGATGAAATGAAAATGAAAAGCAATGAGTTTGTTAAAGTTACATACTTGCTTCCGCCCTCGGCTTCGCACGCCTATAAAAGTAATGTACCAAGTTGTTTTATAAAAATCCCGCTAAAAGTGATAGCTCGACTAATATACGCAAATCAAGTACCTATAATTTTGCGGGCCAACTTATAAATGTGCTTTTCCGTTCCCGTGGGAATTTTGCAATATTCTGTTGCAATTAAAAGCTTTAAGTTTACTAAGGGTACCTGCTTGCCAAATTTCAAGCGTCTAACTTAAGCGGTTTAGATTTTTTATACTATTACAATATTTTTTTGAAAGAAAGAAAGAAAGAAAATATTTATTTGTGAGAATGTAGTACAAATATAGGTGTTTGTGTTATGTGTATGGAATCTCACACATTCTACCGAATTGGTGTACAAATTATTTCGCATAATATCTAGTTATAACTATGCACTACTTATTCTAAGTCTATGATAGGTCATCTAAATAATCTTTAGTGCAATAATAACATTTATTTAGCAAAAACTCAAACAATTTTCTTTTAAAAGACATTAGGTTAAGATTTTTTAGGTCATTTGGAAGTTTATTGTAAATTTTGATAGCCATGCAATATGAGTTTCTGCTATATAATGTTGTGCGTTGACTCGGTACAAATAATTTATTAGGGTATCTACTATTTCTACTAGTAACACATTTTTTCTTAATAAAGAGATCCGGGTTTTTGTATACAAAAATAGAAATTTCGTAAATATACAAACAGGGCAAAGGCAGGATACAATATTTTTTAAATAAAGGTAAGCAGCTGTCTAAGTAGTCTGCACCACATAATGCACGTAGACATCTTTTTTGTGCTCTAAATGCTCGGATTAGATCCACAGAGTTCCCCCATATTACCACTCCGTAGCGTAAAACTGAGGATACATAGCCGTGGTACGCACATAGTGTAGCATTGGGAGTCGCTACTTGTCTAAGTCTGTTCAAAACATAAACATATCTATCCAGTCTAGAACAAATCTTATCTATAATGTAGTTCCCAACTGCAGTGTTTGTCAATAGTTAGACCGAGGAATTTAGTTGAATCTACTTTTTCTATGGCTTTGCCTTTTTGAGTGATATTAAGAGAAATTTGGGTGCTGTTATGTGTTTGGAATTGAATTATATTTGTTTTATTTACATTTAAGTTTAAGTTGTTATTATTTAGCCATGTAGTTACGTTTTCTATAGTGTTATTAATTTCTGTTTCGTACGTATTTTTGTTGTGAGAGTGTATCAGTAATGTGGTGTCATCCGCATATAAGATGCATTTGTAATTAGTTGAATCTGGTAAGTCGTTAATATAGACTAAGAACAATAATACTACCTTGAGGTACGCCGTGTAAATTTAAGATGTAATCAGAACGGTAAGATGATTTGTGGTAACCGGATACACTTGGAATTTCGACACACTGGTAGCGATCAGAGAGGTAACTCTCTATCCAGTTGAGGGCATTGCCTCTTATGCCGTATCTATCCAGCTTATTTAAGAGTATTCTGTGTGATACAAAGTCAAATGCTTTGGACATATCTAGAAAAATTGCAGCAATTGGATTTTTTTTTATCTAGATACTCCGTTATTATTTTTATACGATTGAAGCAGGCTAAAGTAGTAGAATAGTTTTTTCTGAAACCAAATTGTTCTGGTTTCAGTATATTATGTTTCAAAAAGAAGCTATATAAAATACTGTGAAACGATTTTTCTAATATTTTTGATATAATTGGAATTAAAGTTATTGGGCGGTGGTTGCCCATTTCGGTTCTTACGCCCTTTTTGAAAATAGGTTTTACTATAGAATATTTTAATCGTGATGGAAATGTACCATTAAAGTAGGATAAATTTATTATGTGGCTTATTGGACCTGATAAGCTTTTTGCACACTTTTTTATTATTTTAGTGTCAATGTTATCGTATCCCGTAGAGTTGGTGTTTTTGAGTGAATTTATAATTTTACGTACCTCTAGATCGTCAACTGGCTTTAAGAAAATAGTGTTTGGATTATTCGGTATATTTTTGAGAAATTTGTTATTAATGGAAGTGAACTTCGGGTATTCCTTTCTTAGTGTACTTACGGTACCTAAGCTATGTCCCTTCCACATTTCAAGTGTTTTAGCCGTTTATATCCGTCCCATAATAAAATTAACTAATGCTTTCTAACCTTTTAAACTTTCCCTGGTTTCCCACGAGTATTTCAAGACCACAATTAGCCAAATTAGGCCTGTCGTTCTCGAGATTCAGTGAGACTAACGTACAGCAATTCATTTTTAAATATAAGACAAGAACGCTTACAGTTTTCATATCAATCAGTCTGTATGTTCAATGTACTCTGTGTCTCTCATTGCGCTTTGAGGAGTATCAGCCGTGACGATATCTCGAGTTAATATTATTTCATAAATTGGCGAACATCATAATTTAATACCTATAAAATCTTTATCCTTACTAATATTATAAATGGGATAGTAAGTTTGTTTGTTTGTTCCCCTTTCATGCGCTTTTACGCCGTATATACCTACTAAACCGATTGCTTTGAATTTAAATAAACGGGTCCGGGTTAAATAAACGAGTACTTTTTATCCCGGAAAATTTGATATTTCTAAAGGAAAACCAAAATGTTGTTAGTTGAATACCGGTTCAGCGATAGTCGTTTAAAACAGGGTAACATGTTGCAAACACAGGTTGCAAACTAATATACGGCGCCCTCAGCTTCCGGCTGACGCAGGTGCTTACCGGACACGGGTGTTTCAGGAAGTACCTGTGTCGCATAGGTCGGGAGCCGACGTCTCAGTGCCACCATTGTGGTGATTGCTGCGACGATACGGCGCTGCATACCTTGGCGGAGTGCCCAGCTTGGGCCGAGCAGCGTCGTGACCTGGTCGCGGCCGTAGGTGCTGCGGGAAATCTCTCGCTTCCGGCTGTAGTGTCTTCTATGGTCGGGAGCGAGTCAGGGTGGAGGTCGTCCGACCAGCAGCAGGCCTCGAGGCGGCGGCGCCGTGTTCCGCGCGCGCCTCATAGTGGAGTCCTGCGGTCGGGGTGACGGCCGCAGTGGGTGACGGGGCCCGCCTTACCATCTGGCGGGCCAATACCCGTTGGGGGGTTGCGACGAAGGCTTCGGCGATACCCGCCCCTCCGATACATGGGTAAGTGGAGGAACACCGGGTTGGTTTTTAGTCAGTAAGAGTCTGACAGTACCCTTCGCCCTTCCCCGAGGGCGATGGTTCTCCATAAGGATTTTCCAACCCGATACAAAAAAAAAAACTTTGCAAACGAATATGCACACGTAAACTTAGAAGTTAAATTTTTACTTATATTATAATTATACAGATGAATTCCAAGCAAAAGCTACACAATAAATTATGAACACAACATTTTTGTTTCACAATTATTGTTAAAAAAATTTAACGGTACGTAACGAAAGCTGGCAACATTTATGCGAAAAATATAAACTGACATTGGCTTATAGGACTTGTATCCACGCCATAAACTCCAAACTCCAAAATATAAACTGACAAGTCAAGCAGTAACCAACAAGCAAAATGGAGGAAAAATTGTGGGGAAATGCTTGTAAAAGTGAAAATAATTGAAGTTTCTTAACTTTTGTGAAATTCCTGACTGTGTGCCCTTTAAAGGAGTTGCAATGGAGGCTTTTGCTGGACTTATTTTTGGTCATTTCTCATTATATTAGATCTTATAGTTATAAGTAGTCCCAATTTAATGATTTTTGATTTGTATGTATATTTATGAACTTGAGAATATCATTTCGACATTTCATTTGGTTTGTTTTCGTTTATTTTCGTCTTTGATGTCCATTTTATAAGGTTAGATTCGGTTTAGGTTAATTTAGATTACCATAATGAACATACAAGTCTGCAGAGATTCCTCAGACGCTACGGCTCTGTATTTGCCGCAGCGTTTGTATCTTAAATCATATGCAAAGATTAATATTTCTGTCCAGCTCCCCTCCCAAAAGGTACACGGCAAGTCGATATCAAACTGGGAACTTATGGAAAAGTTGCGAAAGATGATCCTCCCTGACAATTTCTCCGTTTTAAAAGTGTCAAAACATAGTTCGGAAGTGATAAGGTTTGACGCGGAACTGGAAAATCGTGATAATCTCGAGAGAGTGTTAGCGAGACTCGAGGACCGCGTGATTCAGCTAAAGGAGTACCCTGACCAACTTAAGGTCAGGGTCTGTGAGGCCAAGTCTGAGTTTCCTAGTCGCCATGATTGGGATTCGTTCTTTCGAGATACTACAGAAATGGATGAGATGAAGCCTGGAGAGCGTCCAGACACCATCCATATATCTAATCTACCCATCCGGTGGTTTATACACAGTAGAGACCAAGATGAGGATGCTCTGCCTTCAGAGAGCTTAGTAAAGAAGATTTTTGAAAAGTTTGGTTCAGTACGACAAGTGGATATTCCGGTATCTGATCCATACCGGATGCAAATGAAAGCAACAATGAGGGGCATTACTACTCCTCCACAGGAGGCTGCTTTGTACTTTGAGGTCTATGTGCAATTTAGTGAATATGTTGGCTTTGTTCGCTGCATGGATGCATTAAGAGGCCGGAAGCTTCTACGGAAGCGTGAAGACATAGCCGAGTGGTGTGGTATTAAAGTGGAATTTGATAAAACTAAGCATATGACAGATGCAGCTGTCAAGCGGAGATCAATAGTCCGTGAGAGGCTAGCCTCACGTCAGAAAGCTAAAGAAGATGAGGAAAGGGCAGAGAAAGAAAGAATAGCTAAAAGAGAGGTCAAAGAAAGGTAAAGTAACTCATATCTGATCATCTATTGCTCTTTTTTTACTCTAATTGGAGTTCATCATGACTATACTATACTAATAGAACAAATTTTAATTGAAACTTTTCTATATAACTAATGTTTTAAGAATATTTTACAATTCTTATCATAATTTTACTGACTGATTTTTAGGCAAAAGTATGAGCGTTCAGAGAAAGAAAAACTAGAGAAAATGAGAGAGAGAGAAGAGAGACGCAAGAAGAAACAGTTGGCCAAATTGATGCAGAGTGATAACTTGGACTTGAATAGTAAAGTTGCAGAGGAGCAGAGGAAACTTGTCAAAGCCCAGAAGAAGTTGCAGGCCATCCGGCTGATTGAAGAACTGTTTAAGAGAATTGAGGTAAGCTTCTTTTTATGCCATAACTGGGCAAACAAGCTGACGGATTACTGATGGTAAGCAATCGGCGCCGCTCATAAACACCCGTACCACCAAAGTAGTTACGAGTGCATTGCAGGCCTTTTGGGAATAAGGGTGGTGGATATTTAAGGATTGGGCAGGGATAAATGATGGGGAGGGGTAGGGATTGTGCTTCCGGTAACCTTACTCACACGGCGAAACACTATGGTTGTTTCGCACCGGCGTTCTGTGAGGCCGTGGTATCACTCCGACACACAAACACTTCGTGCTGAAGCTTGGCTCTTCCACACTTCACTTCATATCACTTTATTGAGTTCTTTTGTATTCAAAATTATGCAGATACACAGATAGTGCTTAATAAAACCTAATGATATTTATGTTAAGCATTCAATTGTGGTAATTGAAAATACAATAGAAGAACACTAGGCGCATGAACACCGGCATTCACTTTGGGGTCTGGTGAATTAAGTGATATTTTAATCTCTCACTTTCCGGTACATGATATTCCGGCGGCGGCATTCCCGAACCGATACGACCTTCAAACCTTTAACCGTGTCTCCTCTGGCGTTGCGGGTGTCGATGGGCGACGCCGATCGCTTACCATCAGGTGATCCGTCGGCTCGTTTGCCTCATATGACATAAAAAATAGAAAATACACAGTCTTTTAATTATTACACATACAATAGGGGTTGAGATTTGATTCTTATAGTTGACAAGTTGCATTGGTTTACTTTTTAAATAAAATGACTTTTTTAATATTTTCCAGCTGCGACCAGAATTACAGCGCAATGGTAATCGTGAGCAGCATTACTTGCCGGGCGAGAGGAATGCGCGCGCGCGTATCATAGACAAGTTCAAACGAGAACAACAAGAGCTGCTGGAGGAACAGAGACAAAACTACAATAATGCTTTGAATGGTCAGTGTAATTGATTTAGCAAAAAGTTTGTTGAGTTATTTAGTCAGCCATCATTATAAGCAGATATCCGTCAATAAGCAAGATTTTTGATCCAACCATTTTACAAAGTTGGATGTTGTTTGGCAAACCCTTTGGTTGGAGTATTTAAGCACGTATATAAAAAAAATCCACAACATTCAAAACTAATATGACGTGCACGCCGATTACCTGATGGTAAGCAATCAGTGTCGCCCATGGACACCCGCAACAAAGGAGAAGTTACCGTGTCCCTTGCCGACTTTTTGGGCATTAGGGTTTCGTAGTGTTAGGGATTGGGGGAAGCGAAGAATGGGGCTTTCGGTAACTTCACTCACAAGGCGAAACACAACGCTGTGTATATTTCACGCCGGTTTTCTGTGAGGCCGTGGTGTCACTCTGGTCGAGCCGACCCATTCGTGCCGAAGCATGGCTCTCCCACATTTACATCAGAACTGCCTGGTCAAATTACAGTCATGTTAATTATCATATATGAACTTCATTTCACAGAGTTTTAAACAATTGAAATATATCTTTCCAGGTCGCATAGTAATTCGCTCAGTACTTGAAACAAAGAAGCCCAAACGGGATTCGTCCATAAGCTCTGCATCATCAGACGAGCGCGCCAGACGCAGTGATAGGGACAACCACAAAAAGATTAAAACTGAAAGACTGACTACACCTGAGAGAGAAATGGAATATAATAAGGCTACAGGTAAAATTCAATACATTTTATTATTACGTCTTTTAGTCTACTACGTCTTTTATTCTACTACGTCTTTTAGTCTACTACGTCTTTTAGTCTACTACGTCTTTTATTCTACTACGTCTTTTAGTCTACTACGTCTTTTATTCTACTACGTCTTTTAGTCTACTACGTCTTTTATTCTACTACGTCTTTTAGTCTACTACGTCTTTTATTCTACTACGTTTTTTATTCTACTACGTCTTTTATTCTACTACGTCTTTTAGTCTACTACGTCTTTTATTCTACTACGTCTTTTAGCCTACTACGTCTTTAAGTATACTACTAATTATGTCTATTACGTATTTTAGTCTAATACGTCTTTTAGTCTACTAAGTCTTTTAGTCTACTACGTCCTTTAGTCTACTACGTATTTTAGTCTACTACGTCTTTTAGTCTACTACGTCTTTTAGTCTACTACGTCTTTTAGTCTTCGCTTGATCAGAGCGGAGTGGTTTTCTTTTCAACTGATCACCTGATGGTAACCAATCAGCGAAGCCCAAGGACATACAAGTACGTTACTGGCATTTGAGGATTAGGGATTTGTGAAAGGGCGGGTAAAGTTTAACATAACTCACAAGGCGAATCAGAAGCGTTGTTTCACGCCGATTTTCTGGTCCGGTCGAATCGACCCATTCGTGCCGAAGCACGACTCTTTCACATTTCCAATAAATATGTAGTGCTAATATCACTCACCAGCGTCCTAAAACTTCCGACTACTTTCACCACGACTTCCACTGACAGAACACCTATAAGGGCTGATGTCCAGCTCGGCCTAGAGCAGGAGAAGGAACGGGGTGTTTTTTGTCAGTAAGAGTCTGGCACTACCTCTCGCCTCACCCTGGGCGAGAGAAGTGATTCGATGATTTTCCTCTCACAAAAAAGGGATCTTAAAACCCATTATAACCCTTAGACATACCATAAAACCCATTTCGACGTAATAAAAGACAAATCCGCTTTTTTGTGTAAACGGAATAAAGGAAAGCTTCTCAGGTATGGAAGGGACGGAGTTTGGAAGGCTTTTGGCCTGCAAAGGGATGAGCTCGGCTTATAAGAGAGTAATGAAGATTTGTTTGTTCCAGCCGCGAGTCTATACAGTATGCAGCCGTATGGTTTCGGCTACCCGTTTGCCTGTCCCCCCGGCTACGCGTACCCGCCGCAAAGTATGAGTATCCTTTATTTTCTATTTATCTTTAAAGTAGAGATATTATACATTTGTTAAAAATACGGTTTACTCAACTATTCGAGAAAAGCTCGACTAGTTTCAAGTCATACCGGGACTCTTATTCATATGATGCGTGCGCGGCGCTGCGACGTAAACCGCATTTTTAACTAATTTGTTATGTCTAAATAACAATTAAGTATTTGTGATATTTTTGTTATGTAAATGCTGTTGTGTTTGTTCCAAAAATTTTTGTTTTGGGTCTGGGTGTGTGTGAAATTATATGTTTTTAAGCGCTTCAACGACACAGGGGAAAGCCCTAGCATAGGGCCAGCCTTTTTAAAAAATAAAATATCCTTTTACGTATGCCAAATATGTTTTTACACAGCGTCGATGTACTACCCGGTCCGGGGGACGTACTACCCGCCGCCCACCGGCGAGTACCGCCGGCCGAGGGGCCGGGGCCGCGGCCGGGGCAGGAACCCCCGCATGCCGTACTTCGATGGACCCGATGCCAATCATCAGTATTACAGGTCAGTTTCGTATTGTAATAACATTTTGACAGTTGGTAGAGGCATTGCTTAGAATAAATAGTATTTACTAAGTCTCGTAATAATAACGGATAACTGAAGTTGTAAGGGTTGGACCTCATCTGGCAGCACATTTGTTCCGCCTGTGCTACCCCGGGCTGCAGTATGGCCGCATGCGAACGCGCGATGTCGCATTCCGCAGACGAAAAAGACGATCGCACGCATCAGCATGCTGCAGCATGAGTGGCATACTGCCGCGTTCTTTCATGATCAGTTTAGTTTCAAGCGCGAGATGGATAAGGACCACGGAAGAGAGCAGTGATTCTAGCTAGTATTTTGTTTAAAATGCAAAATCAAAATAATAAAAAGAAACGCATTCGCAAAATAAAACGCATTCTCTTTACGGTATTGGTATATTCCGCCGACTCCATGTCATAGAGACAAGGATACTTCTGCACTAAAACTATCAAATTTTCGCCAGTCATTGTTTCCATCTGTTTTATTTCCATCCGTACGGAATGAATGAACAGGCTGCACTGAGCTGACGAGCGGCCGCATGCGCCATTCTACGATAGAGTGAGACAGCATGCGATAGCAAGTGATCGGCGGTGAATGGATGCGTTAGCATGCTATCGTGCGTTTCAGCGTTCCGGCGTCTCCCAGCCGACCATTGCATTTTGTCCGTGATGCCGATCGCCTCGAGGATTCCGTGGCGTGCTATCGCATTATGTTTTCTATCTCGGTCTAGCAAATCGCAGTTCTAAGCGACAGAAAGAGAAAGGGCGACGGAAAAGGCGATTCCGTGCTGCCAGATGTGATCCAACCCTTAGAGTATCTCTACAGGGTGGTATTTTGAACGAGGGACTTCTCCATGCTGTAGCTGTTGGATATTGGTCCCATGAAAGAAGTATTTTTAATTGAGCACCAAAATCGGCTCCTTTAATATATCCCTCGTTCAAAATGCCACTCTGATATATAATATTGAGAGGCTTGTCTTCCAAAATAGATCTACATAATGGGGGTAATTGTCACAAGCTATAGTTCTATAACATGCAAAATTCTTTTTACAGATACTTCAAGAAGCTAACAGAGACCAACCCTCACAGCGAATATGAAGACAGAACGCGCGGTCGGTCGCGCGAGACTCGGTCGCGGTCGCGGTCACGGTCGCGGTCGCGGCGACGGTCGCATTCGCGGTCGCGGTCGCGGCGTCGCTCGTACAGTCGCTCGCGGTCGCGCAGTCGCAGGTCTAGGAGCAGGAGTCGGCGGTCCAGGTCTAGGAGTCGAAGATCTAGGTATCATAATATAAGTTTTCTTAATAATAGCAGCCTTTTTGGGTTCACTGTCAAAGTAAACCATTAACTCTCTTAAAACATGAAACTGACAGACTTTGGGTCGATTTATCAGTTAGAGAGTGACCCCTTTTGCTTCGATTGTGTGTACAACATTCGCCCACTTTGGGTCGATTATCAGTATGAGACTGACCCCTTTTGGGTCGATTGTGTTTACAACATTCGCCCACTTCTGTCGAATATCAGTATAAGAATGACCCCGTTTAAAACAATTCTTTCAGATCCTACCATTCACGATCGCGTTCTCGGTCGCGATCTCACCGTCGTTCCCGCTCCCGATCTCGTCGCAGTCGCTCCAAATCGACCTCCCGACACGACCAACACGACCGATCTGACTCCAGAAAAGTTGTGTCGCCCAACCAGACTGAAACACGGCGTTCCCGCAGCTGGTCGCAAAAGAAAGATGATACAGTAGCTCCAGAAAGCCCTAGGGATAAATAATATTTAATTTTATACGCTAAAATATACTTACGTAAATTATATACCTTTCTGTTAAGAAGTAAAATGATTTTATTTTATACCCTTCAGCACAATACCGCTGACGTATCTTGGCGAGTCTGAAGTTAGCCGATTAGCTGCGCAGTACACAATTTTGTTCCTAAAAGATCCATTGCGCAGACAAACAGCTAACTTCAGACTCGCCAAGATACGTCGGTCGTACTGTATTATGAGTGACTAAAAATAAAGGAAACTGAGTTGACTTCTGACTCTTGGATAAAAGCATGGAGATTGGAGAGGTACCGATATACCTAATGTTCACAACGATGACTACAAGTAGAAATAAATATGTAGGTCTAGAATAACAGATCTTAATGAAAAAAATCTTAGGATTTGTATGTAGTATTTATACCTGTAAATCCTTAAACATCAACAACATCCCAAAAGTAAACAGACTAAATCGTTACGAGTCGCGCGGAGCCAATGGATGCAGGTGGTGAGCTGTCGTTCGACTTGGTCTTTCGGATGATGATGATGATAGTCCTAAGTATAGATTTGACGACAAGATTAAAATCGTCAGATGTGGTGTGTGAAGTATAGTCTGGGGTTTTTTATCAGGGGAAATCATCAAAATGACTTCTCCCGCCTAGGGCCGGCCGGGAGGGAGGGAGTGTCTGACTAAAAAACTCCTTGGCGTCTCTCAAGCCACTCCTCAAAGAGAGGTCTTACCGCTGCCATAACAGCTTGCCCGAAATTCAGCCGGGGTTGGGGGCGCAACAGGGGGTAGTGTTTAGTCAGTAAGAATGACATTATACCGTGCTTCCCACACAGGGCAGGATCATTCGATGATTTTTACTTTGAAATATTAAATCGATCAACTCCGATAAGGGGATTTTCAATTGAGATGGGTTGTCATTTTGGAACAGAAACCTAGCGAATTTAAGTATAATACCTTGATAATACCTACCTATTTACTTACACTGTTATACACAATATTATAACTTAAAGCGCGTGCCCTTATTACCTGTTTATACTCTTGCGTATTTATCAAATTATCATCGTTAAAAGGTGTCTAGACCCTATTCTTACAAGTCACCATCATCAGCCAATAGGTGCTTACTGCTGAGCAAAGGTATCTTCTCACACGGAGGTTTGAGCATAGGTAAATCACCGCGCTTACTCAAGGCAGATAAGTGACTTGAAACTCATAATCAGAAATTATAAGTCCATGTTTCCTCACGACACTTACAACAACTGCTTAGGGGAACATATCTAAGTACAAAATCACTTTAGTGTAGTAGGAACGTTCGAATGTTTCTCCGAAATTGTGAGTCGATACGTTGCCGCCTCGAGCATGTTGTAATACTTATTTTACGAAAGACTATTGTAGATCCGCAGAAAGACGTTCTTTCCTACTACGATTTATACAAATATACAAGTAGGCTTACTACTTTCTACTTTTAATAATGTAGAAAACGCTGTCAGCATTAGCGGCGCCGATTGCTTACCATCAGCATATCATAGCAGAGACTGCACGGTTGGTGCGGTGGCTGGGCAACTGGCTGCCGTGCAACGTGTGGCGGGTTCGATTCCCGCTCGAAACAACTCTTTGTGTGATCCACAAATTGTTGTTCCGGGTCTGGATGTCTTGTGTATGTGAAAATGTATGTTTGTAACAGCACCCACTACACAGGAGAAAAGACTATTGTGGGGCAACGTTTAAAAAAAAATTTAACTCTCAACCTGATTTCAAGCATTTCATTGTCTCGGTAGGCGCAGCGTTTTCGCAATCGGCTGACCTGTGGATTTGATACCGCATCTGAAAATTCCTGGTGCGAACCATAATTGTAGTTCAAGGTCAACAGTACCTACAAGTAGGACATGCTATTTTATTTAGGTAGGTACATCTACTACGTAGGTTGGAGAAATTCGTAGTGTTATCTAAGTAGGTATTTAGGTTTTTTTAAATTCTCTCAAATTAAATTTACTATTCGGTCTTGGCTAAACGTGGCATTAAATACTTCGATACTTCTCTGAAAGAATGTAAAGCTACATTTTAACAGTTACGGCAGTTACAGTCATAGGCTGATGTTTTTAATTAAATATTTTTTAAGCTAATCGTAATCTGTGAAACGATTTAAAAATTAGGTAAGTATTAATGTAATCTTTCGTTAATGCGGATTGTCGTTGATAAATAGATACTGACGTAGGCAAGTAGATACCTAATGTTTTGCCTACAAGTGTTATTTGTTTGGTTTTAAGTCAGAACCTTTTTAGATTGTTGTGGGGGAAAATCATCAAATGACTTCTGTCGTCCTGGATGGATGAGAGAAAGCAATGGAACGCAAACAGCGCCGCGCATGAACACTCGCAACGGAGGAGTCACGAGTGCGTTGCCGACCTTTTAGGGATTAGGGATTTGGATATTTAGGGACTGGGGAGGGTTTGGGGAAGGGGAAGGATAGAAAGGAAACACAACGCTGTGGTTGTTTCACGCCGGTTTTCTGTGAGGCCGTGGTATCGCTTCGGTCGAACCGACCCACTCGTGCCGAAGCATGGCCCTCTCACACTTAAACATCATTATAAGCAACTACAAAACTTCATTAAAAGTTAAGAAGAAAATAGTTAAGTATATCTACCATCCTATAAAGAGTGTGAGTGTAGCGGAATGATATCATGGCCTCATAAAACACCAGAGTGAAACAACCATACCGTTATGTTTCGCGATGTGAGCGTGGTTACCGGAGGCCCAATCCTTCCTTCCTTCTTCCAATCCCTTATTCCCCGATACCCTAATAATCCCCAAAATGTCGGCAACGCTCTCGTACCCAATTCCTCTGGTTTTGCGGGTGTCGATTGGTGTATCAACTATGCTTGCTATCCGGTGAGCTATCTGCTCTAATATCGTCCTATCACTTAAAGCAAAGTAGGTCCGTGTCTTTTATAGAGTTTTCAAAAACTATTTATCTACTAAGTAAATTTCTCCCTATACCTAGGCATCTACCTTAATGCCCTGGGTAGGAACCGCGATTAATTACCCGTGTCGCTAATGTACCGTGTCTGCGTTATTAATTACTTGAAATAATTATTTAGCTAATGAGCCAGAACAATTTAATCTTCAATACGATTTGCTTTTTGCCTTGTCGCTTGTGAGTTTGATTCTAGCGGTTGTTAGCTAGGCGTCTTCTTTTTTGGGACAAGCCAGCTACAATCTGTCAACACCACTGCAATTCCTGTCTGCCAGCATCTGCAGTTTACCTACCTAGATTCAGCCAGGGTTGCGGGGTAAGCGCAATGAGGCACCGCGACCTCGGCCCAGAGCAGGAGAAGGAACGGTGGGTTTTTAGTCAGTAAGAGCCGCCTGGCCCTGGACGAGAGAAGTCATTTGAAGATGTTCCCCTTACAAAAAAAACCTACCTAGATTAAACCATGAAAACACCGAAAAACTGAAATCTGAAGGCACATGAATGTCAGTCTTGGATCCTGCAACGAAATAAACCAGAAGATAATTTAGGAAGAGAAGAATAAACGAAACAGTTTCCACTTCCCTCGGTAAATTTAATCCAGGAGACAGAATGTCTAACTAAAGCCTCAAAGGCGCAAAATGGACTGCACCACTGGAAGCCCTTTCACCAAACACGGACGGATATAAGTTATATTTCCACACGTAATTGTTAATTGGTGGGACAGCCATGCTTCGGCACGAATGGGTCTCGACCGGAGTGATACCACAGCCTCACAGAAAACCGGCGTGAAACAACCACAGCGTTGTGTTTCGCCGTTGGAGTGAGGTTACCGGAGGCCCAATCCTTCCCCGCCCCCAATTTTTTTATTTTTTTTATTTAATAGGTCGGCAAACGTGCAGACGGATTACCTGATGGTAAGCAATCAGCGACGCCCATGGACACTCGCAACGGAGGAGTTACGAGTGCGTTGCCGACCTTTTAGGGATTAGGGATTTAGAGATTTAGGGATTTAGGAGGGCCTGCTTATAAAGATTGAAGTTTTTTATTGAAACAATTATAAGATCTAATATATTTGTTGTATCTATATTGATGACACGTCAGGGTAGCACGGAGGTTAAGGCGATTCTCACAATTTCACATACTAACATATAACACCCAGACCCAGAACAACAATTTGTGGATCACAAAGAGAGTTGTTCCGTGCGGGAATCGAACCCGCGACTCGTTGCCCGGCTGCTAGTTGCCCAGCCACCGCACCAACCGTGCAAGTTAATTGATGCGAAATCTGATAATGGTAAATTAAGTTTAAAATCGCTAATCCGCTTTCTAACAAGCGAGGTGATGAATGCTCAAACCTTTTTCGTGTGAGAAGAGGTCTTTGCTCAGCAGTAAGCACTTATAGGCTTATGATGATGATTATTGACAATTATTACTTAGATGAAATAGGCACTAAATAATGTTTCGTAAAAACCTTGAAGCAAAGAAACTTTTTTTAGCTAAACAGCTAACTATATATATTGTACCTACACACTGACGCATTTTTTAATCAAAAAAATAATAAAGATGACGAAGCCCATTTTTAATGATTTTGTAGTTTAGGTAATTGCTATCGTGGCACACGAATCTTTGATAACATTAATAATATCAAATTGAAAGTTATAATTGTAGGTAGTACTGCTTACTTTTTCATAGTCAAGCGTTTCTCCGTACCGCAAACAGAAACTATTGGATATTTTATGAGCATTACATTCTAGTCTACCTTTGGGTGATGCAGAGATTCCCGAACAAAAAATATGTATCTATGTATATGCGTGATCACAACCACACCCGTTTTAAAAGTTTCGTTCGAATAAGGCCAGAAACAGAGATCATAATCTCGACTTATTTGTGTTTTACCGATCGTACACCTTTTAAATATTATAATTTGTATGTAGAAACATACAAATAAAGTCGTCATAAAATAGACTTTTTGTTATTTATTATTATCTTGACTAACGAGTAATCATAAACAATTACATATCTATAACCGTATACAAACCGATATAATTTTATTCCTATACTTACTAGCGACACGTCCTGGCTTCACATGGGTGTAATGCTGATCCTAAATTTCTCCACAATTTCATGGATAGCTTCAAACCAGCAGGATTCCTAGTCATTGCGTAGAGATATAGCCTCATTGCGCATCTTTTACAACCTATGTGATGGAGATCCGAGATTTAGTTTGATGCTTGCTCCATCCTTGGGGACCGACGCGACAGCAGTTCGATCACTACCCATTATACATATGTTGGACAACCCTAAACGAAGCGCTTTTCGCGAAGGTTCTCAAACCAATACTTGCATTGTGTGTCGCTCTTCTCAATCTTTCCCTCTCATCCGCAAATGTCCTGAGCCCCAAAATGCTGTCAACGCATTCCTCGATTTTGCGGCGGTGATAAATGTATTGGCGGCGCCGATTGCTTACCCTTAGCTGATCCATCTGCACGTTTACCGACCTATCCTATAAAAAAACTTTCTATCTCAAAAAGCTTCGCTGTAGAATGATCTAGTGCTAGCAGTATTCCGATACAACCTTTGAACCTCTAAGAAAAGATCTTTTTTGGTTTTAAATACTTGCTACTGTTCTGATTTTTAGAGGGTGCTGTTCTGATACCATCAGGTGATACGTTTGGCTCAATCATCAAATGAGTTTTCCGGACCAGGGAGAGGCGAGAAGTGTCAAAGTCTTACCAACTAAAAACTCCTACGCTCCGTCTCTTGGTCCAGGCCGAGGGGCTTGTTTGCCCCTTATACCATGGAAAAAAACTATGGAACTGCATAAAACATATTATGTATAATGTTATGTATGCGGGTATCTAATCAAATTATCGTACTTTCCACCGACAAGCGGGACAAGAATTATCTTCATCAAAAAATCTACTTACACGTGAAAACCGAAAGAACAGAGATCCTTAATGTTGAACAAATATGATATTCGTGAAAAAAACCCTATTATACGTCAATGTATCTAATCCACATATCCGTTGGTTTCTTTAAAAATAAGTACGCAACTTTATCAATGGATTAAAATGTATAAAGAGCCGTGGAATACAGTTAGTAATCAGTATTTGTATCAAAAGATTATGATATAACGTTGTTTCTTTTATCTTCGATAAGGGACCTTAATTAGTATATGAAGTAGGTGGTAATTAATTCATTATAGTCAGTGAATTGACCGTTGGAAGATGAAGGGTTTCGCTTTTGTTTTATTGTGCGTTCTCGTCGCCGTTCAGGTAACTTTTTTATTCAGTTTCACCAGTGTATTTGGATGTCGGACGTTGTCTAAACCATCCTGTAGATGTTTCGTCTATCTTTTTATCTTTCTCAACCATTAGACCACTGGTCTTGACACTTGGGCCTCCTTTAAGATGTTTATTAATAATTTATAGCTTGCTAGCGAAGCTAAACCGATACTAAAATTCTCATATCCGTACGGATTGAGGAGCCACTTCAGAATTTTTGAAACCTGATTTCACCATTATTCATCAGCATTTTAGCTTGTTTCAGCATTCTAGCACCATTATGCATCAGGAATTCTAGATTTAGTAGCAAAACATATCACTAGTTATTTTAATGCAAAAGTGACTAAATCTAAACATCTGAATTGAGGAGCCACCTTGAACTCATTAGTTAGTATATGTATATGTAAAAGTCACCACGATACAGGAGTAAAATCTTAGATTGAAAAGTGAATGGGCTTGCTTTGTTTTTGTCTATACTAATATTATAAAGAGGTAAAATTTTAAGTTTGTATGTAGGGGGTAATCTTTGGAACCGCTGGTCGTATTGCCAAAATTCTTTCACTGCTACATATATAGCTACTACGTTCCTGAGTGTTATAGACTATAAAACAACATGCTACGATTAAAGGAGCTGACCAGCGGTTGAAACCGCTCGAGAGTAGCTAGTTTTATATATAAAAAAAAACATGGCTCCACAGATTAGGATTTTCTCCTCTATCGTGGTTGCGTTTACAAACATACAAATTCACATACTCAAACCTGAAACAACAACAGTAATATATTGGGGGAATAGAACCCGCGACACGTTGCACAACAGCCAGTTGCCTAGTCACTACACCAACAGTGCAATCAAACGTGAGACGGAACCGGAGAGATTCCTGAAATTTCGTTATTCAATCTTATTATCTAAAAGACCGATAATTGACCTGAAATATAATAAAGTTGTTTAGAATATTTATTTCACTGAAAGACATGAAGTATCTGATAAAGCTTAATATCACAGGCTTTAAAATAAGTGTGGGAGAGCCATGCTTCGGCACGAATGGGTCGGCTCGACCGCAGTGATACCACGGCCTCACAGAAAACCGACGTGAAACGAGCACAGCGTTGTAGTATTTCGCCATGTGAGTGAGGTTACCGGAGGCTCAATCCTTCCCCGCCCCCAATCCCTAAATCTCCAAATCCCTAATCCCTAAAATGTCGTTATCAAAAATGTGCTAACATAATCATCTTTATCAATTTTTATTTTTTTTAAATTGTCAATTACGGAAAATCCTAAGTTACAACTTACGCAAATCGTATTATCAATATGTTTTCTTATCTAATTAGACTTGTAATTAAGCCTAATCTTAATGTTAACACATCTAATTAATTATATTTAATACCAAGATAATACGTACCTATCTTTTAAACATTATCTTTTAAATATGTTTTGGACACTCAATTTTTCCATCTACTTACAACATAAATAATTAGATAACAACTACTATGACTACTGCAATTTTTACTTGTTTTCTTTACTGTACAATATGTAAATAACAGATGCAACTCAAATTCCGCGCCAAAATGGAAAACAGTTATGCCAATCTAACAACAACAAAAAAAAAATTAAAATTCGAATTTGGAACCATAAAAAAAAACATTCATTCCCGATACTTTGTTGACTGAATGTACATACGTTTTATGTGTGGGAGAGCCATGCTTCGGCAAGAATGAGTAGGGTGGACCGGCGTGATACCACGGTCTCTCAGACACCCGTCGCGAAACAACAACACAAACACAACGTTGTATTTCGACGTGTGAGTGAGGTTACCGCATGTCCAAACCTGCCCGTTTCCCAATCCCTAAAACTCCAAAACCCTAATCCCCAAAACGGTCGGCAAGACACTCGTAACTCCTCCGGTGTCTATGGGTGGCGCTAATTGCTAACCATCTGGTAACCAGTATGACACTTTGCCGTTATTAAAAAAAAATATAGATAGGTACTTATATACTTCATGTAATACGTACAAAGGACAAGAAAGACATTCTCTACTAGTCAACCGCAAGGATGAATGCAATATTAGAATAGGTTCTAAACAAGTATACATATGTATGTACTTATACAAGACAATACACACACAATATATTCATCTGTATTCTGTATTGTTTTCATAATAATGCCAACAACTATATAAAAAATACTTAAATCAAAGCACTAGAGTTGTTAATACTATCGAGAAAGAAAGAATGGTTTCAACTGTTTCAAAGCATTTAATATTTTCATTTTATTGAAAAGGAATATTTCAATTCTTGTTATTAATTTAAAATGTCTCTTGTTTCAGGGTCGCCACACCGGCCTTGAGAGTAAGTATTCAATAATATTTCAATATAAATAGCTAAGATAAAATTATTATAAGAATACTTCAGGATATTCTAAATAAATAAGTTTAAATATGACTAAAATGCTTGAGTTATAAATATTCAGTATTTACCTACAAGCGTTTTTGCTACTTTTATCCAGGTTCTGAATCCGGGGTTGTAACAAATTACTGCGGGGGAAGGGACGGGGTGGCATATAGTCATTAAAAGTTTTTTTTGACGGCGAAAAATCATCGAATGACTTCTCTCTTCATGGATGGGGCGAGAGGCAGTATCAGACTCTTACTGACTAAAAAAGATCCCGTTTCTTCTTCTCCAAGACGAGGCCGCGGTACATATTGCGCTTGACCGGTATAAAATTTGTTTGATTTTGAATCTTGTTCGAGTGTGAAGTGAGCGTCGACAGGAAGGGGAAATTACACTATAGAATTCCACTTTTAACGTCATCTCATATTTTATCTATTAAAAAGTTGCTGTCAATTTAGTTCAACTCGTAAGTGTAGCGCTAATGTACTACTACTCACAGCGGATTAAGATACGAAGTTTAGAATGAAGTCTTACAGAATCATACTGTTGTGGTCAGATGGCTCTTTGAGACAGTCAGTAAGAGTCTGACATTTATTCTTTTCCCACTCAGAGCGGGAGGAGTCAATTAATAATTTTAAACCCTTATAAAATTGGCTTGATCCTTGAATAAAATACTTAATAAGTTAGATAATAGAATTGATATTTTCACTAGCCAGCCTGAACTAACAATTACAATTTTCTCCAGAGTCCGGCAGCAATGCCGCCCTGGGTGAGAACCCATGGTTCGTGCACCTTCGCATCGCCGTCTCCACCAGTGGCCTCCTGAACACCTGCGCCGGATCCCTCATCGGCAACAGATGGCTGCTCACCACTGCCAGCTGCGTCGCTGAGTACGATATTATTTCAAATAGTTCCTTACACTAGGATTGTCGTAGATTCTTTTACAAACACATAAGTTTACATATTAAGAAGCTACCAAAACCCGAAACAATACGGGTCTGCGGACGGCGAGTAAGAGTAGCTTGTCGCCCGATCAGAAACAGACGCAAGCATACGGCGCGTTGCGGTCAGCGCGCGCCCAAAAGAGCTAATAGACCACCACAAATAGGGATTATTTTAAGCCGGGGTTGCGAAGCAGGCATTATAAGGCACAGCAGCCGAGAGCAGGAGAAGAAGAGGGGTATTTTTAGTCAGTAAGAGCCTGACTCCCGCAAAAACCTGGGCGCCCCTCACATAAAAAAAATCACTAGGATTGTCGTAGATTCACACACAAGCTACACAGACCAGAATTTGACTATAGATACTGCCCTATTTCCACTATCAATCTACATATACATACATAGTATCATATTTATATACATACATCCTGGAACAGTACAAGAGATAATGAATCTGTGTGTTTCCAGTTCTCGTTTCATCTGGGCCCGTTACGGCGCTGTCGATGTCATCAGGCCCAGCCTGGTCACTGAGAACTCCCTCACCAGCATCCACCCTGAGTACGACCCCATCACTGGCGCCAACAACCTTGCCCTCATCAACATCAACAGAGACGTTCAGAGCACTGGTCAGTATTTAGCAGACATTTTTCTTGCCTTGACAAATCTTCCTTTTACCTAAAGATCTTATCAAAGAAAGTTTTTACATGAGAAATCTTATCAATTTCCCAACACGCACTAAAATGTCGTGGCTCGGAGGTTAAGGGAGTGCCTTGACTTCGGACCTGATTCTCATGCATGAAGGTTCAAAACCTGGCAAGTACCAATGTGACTTCTTCCGAGTTATATAATGTACTTACTTTCTATGATTCTCTGATATACGGTGAAGGAAAACATCGTGAGGAAACCTGGACTTACAGTTTCTAATTATAAGTTTGAAACCGCCAACAATACGCCTTAAGCAAGTGTGGTGATTAATGCTCAAACTTTCTCCGTGTGAGAAGAGGCCTTTGCTCAGCAGTGGGAATTTATAGGTAGATGGTGATGACACGCACTAACAAAATTGTTATACGGTACGCTAGTAAAACGGGCTGAACAGATATTGGCGAATTTTCCAAGTATCTATTCTATTCATTTAACCCTTTTCAACGTTTACACCTCGAATTCTATTCACCCCGTTTCACCACACTATGATTTCTTCATAATACAACTACAAATAGTTATATCATGTATTCATGTCATTGAATTCATATTTGCCTGAAGTTAGTTTTAATTTTATGCCAGTAACGAAAATAATCCACCAAGATTTTCGTAAAGAACTCCTTTTTAAGAAAAAAATAGAAGAAAGAATTACTTTTGTAATTTGGTCTCGTTGTAACAGAACTCCAACACGTGTCACCACCTCTAAGTAAATATAAAATTGTAATTAACAACGGAGAATGCCCACGAAATTCTTTTTAATTCATAAGTAATTGTCTTTTAAAAATCAGGCCTCGACTAATCCAATGTTTATAACTTACCTACCACGGCAATATTTTTGCAAAATTCCAAAACTTGCTATTGAAATTCGTAGGAAGCTGTCGGATTCTTTTTTCGAATTCAATTTTGTTTTAAACTTGTGGACCGGTCCGGACCTGACCTAGTTTTGTTAGCAAATATTTCGATTTCTCATATTGGAATTGGAAGCGGTTTTTGGTCTTCCTTTCTGGAATATTTTTAATTTCCTTTCAAAATTTTGTTGATATTCTTATATTGCATTAGGTTCCATTGATAGTAGGATATAGATAAAGCAAGATAATATTAAGTAGCCATAGATAAGAACTTATTCACAACAAAAAAAATATTCAAAACTTAAAATAATGGCTGTTAAAATAAAATACATTATAACGAGGACCTTAAAAAATAAATGAACCATTCATAATAAACAATTTCGTTCCAATCAAGATAATCCGTAGGCCAAAGTCTCGCTCGACAATTAAAACGGTTTGCCGAAAGCAATCGGCCGATTAATAAAGTCGTGTTGAGAGCCCCGCCGCCCACGGTTCGTTCCGTGCCGTACCGGCTATGGCCCGTGTTTCTACATTTTAATTAACGTTTCCGGCCGACCCGGCTATGTTTTCGATGTAGTGCCCACGTTGGTTTTTGTGGAAAATTCGGCTAACGACGCGATTTTATTGCGATTGTTTTGCTAGGGTAACGCGGACTTGTTCATTTGGCTGTGACATTTTTTCGAACACCGTGTTATTATTATTATTAATGGGTTCCTGACCCATCTAACTCGAGATGTTTTTTTTTATTGCTGTTAATTTTGTTTTAGATTGTGTATATTTTGAGCAATTTGAATTCTAGACTCTCGAAATGTTAGCGTATCAAAGGACCACCAAATCTTGACGGGAGATCTAGATTTCACCATTTTTTTATATTATTATTATTATCTGTTTTATTTGTTTACAGAAAACATCTCTCCCATCTCCCTGTCCGGATCTATCTCCGAATCTGGATCCTTCTGTGCCTTCGGTGCTGACGGTGACAGTGAGTATTGTGATACCTAATATTTATTTATTAGCGACTCTCAACTGCTGCTTGGCTCCAGTTGATCGTAGCGTGTTTTTTATTTGAACATTGTAGCTATCTATCAGTGAAAACATTTTGGAAATCCGATCAGCGGTTCTTATGATAGGAGTAACCTATATATAAATTACAAATTTTAACTCTTTATATTATTAGAATAGATAAAAAAAGAATTAATTGCAACAGACTTCGTTCGTAGAGTAACTAAAATTAAGTTTTTGTAATGGAATCCGTTTTCGTGGTCCTTAATGAACTTTATTTTTGGCCATATTTGACCGTTTCATTTTGAAACATATAATTTATCCAATAATAGACATGTAGGATTTATGTTTGTTTCATGTTCAGTCTACATTTTCCATCACTCTAATATTGACATATTTTTCAGAACCTGCTGAGCAGCTGATCTGCTATGAAGCCTCCATTTCCCAGGATGAGGATGGTCTCAACGTTTCCGGCGACTTTGAAGTTTCCGAAGTAAGTTACCAACTGTGTTAAAAAGTTTGACATAATCACATGACTATGTCAAACTTTTTAAAGTGTCAAATTTTTTGACTTTTGACATATTAGTACTTAAAATATATTTGTTTCTTTTCTATTTCCCAAGACTTTAAATGTTGTATTTATTCGTAGTTAGTAAACAAGTTTCAATTTACTGAAACATACTTCTAGGCAAATAAAACAATCATTTTACTATAAAAAATAATACAGCACAATCACTAATTACTTTCGTAATAAAATAGGATCAAAATTTTTAATAAAAATACCTTAGACTGGCTTAGACTAAAGGATTTTTATGTTATATTAGTATGTTTTTGAGTGTTGACTATGAGTGCGGGATTTTTTTGCTATCGAACCATTTTCGCGTCTACTTTTTTGATTGGTTGACTAACTTGAAGCTGGCCAATCAGATCGTTAAACGTCATAAATATGTCGATCATCTTAACTTAAACATAACTAGGCTTTATGACAGTACACACCACGACCTATAATAAACCAGTTTATAATGACCTTGCTTTGAATCATCTTTTCCCAAATTGAAGGGCCAATTTAACGTGGTTTTGGTTTTTTTAGATTCTTATGTATCAGTCTCTACAGTATACTTAGTGTTATGTAAATATGTGTCTTATAACACGAGATTTAAATTATTAATTTCAACACCCCGCCAAAGAAGATTATATAAACAAATCTTAATTATTCCTATGTCCTTTTTGATATCAAAATTATTAGCTAGCTGTTTATAAATTCGCGGAATTAGGGTTATGAGGTCATCAAAACTAGGATTTTTGTATGTTACTATACTTTCAAAATAGTTTTAGACACTAATGTTGAAAATCTTTTGAGTTTTTGAGTCGAAACCTTATTTAATATTTAATGAAAAAAGCGACTTACATACAATTATGAATCAACTAAAAAACCTCAACTAGTTTCAAATCATAACATTGGATTTTTTCTCGCTAGATGGCGCGCAGCCTACTGCTTCTAAAAAAAATTCCATTCGAATTACTAAGAATTAAGGATCAACGTTTTATAAAGACGACTAGTACTGGCTAGCACTTCAAGCTACATACCTACCCTTATTCTGCAATTTAGATTTTATTGTAGAAACAATAAAGTTTAAAACTCATCAAATGCATTGGTCAGACAAAGAAAGCTTGTCATGCTGTGTCTATTCATGTCTTTATCAACTTTCGATATTTAAATAAATTATATAACTTTTTTACAGTTCGACCTTGGAGCCCCAGTTGTGAGCGAAGGTGTTCAGGTCGGTCTCCTCACCGGAGCTGATGGTTGTAAGTATCAAACCTTTTTTTCATATTAGGTACCACTCGTTGGTTTAAGACCTGCGGCGGCTCTAAGTTAAGGGCAACAGCCATGGTAATATCAACCTTATTAACATCTTTTTCAATGTATGCATAACACTGCAGAGTGTGAGGTTGGCAAAGACCTCTCCCTTAAGGTCGGAAATGCATTTTTAAGTCCTCTTACGTTGTTAAGGTTTAAGGGCGGCATTGATTGCTTACCATCAGGTTATGAGCAAGGCCTTTTGCAGACCCATCTCGTAAAAATACGTATTGATAGAATTTTGCAAAGCCGCGTATTTCTCTGGCTTTGTTACTTTAAATTTAGAATTTACCAGCTTTTGCCCGCGACTCCGTTCGCGTGGAGTAGAGACTTCCTACAGATATTTGGTATAAAAACTATCCTATGTCCTTTCTCGAGTTCCGATCTATGTCTGTACCAAGTTTAACAGAAATCGGTTCAGTAGTTTAGGCGTGAAGAAAAGACAGACAGACAGACAGAGTTACTTGCATATTTATAATATTAGTTTGGACTAGAATAAAGTTAGAAATTTCTACAATAACTTCACATAATTGTCTTAGTAATAATGTTGTTAAATAAAAATCATAATTAACTAGCCTTACATTGAATAAGTACTAGAATTTTCTAGGTCTCCCTTATGTAATGGATTCCGGCTACATTTAATGACGTGCAAAAGTGCTGTTTTATGGACCATTTACAAAACTAAATGCATTGTTTCGAATTCGATCAATCTACGCAAAGCGACACTTTTCCTTATTTCAACATATATCATGGTCACTTTAAAAAAACACTTTTCAAATCCTCAAATGACTTCTCCCAGATTTTTAATGTTATATCCATACTTACACAAAAGAGACAATAAACAAGCCTAATATCTCCTTAGAAGTTAATATATTATTATTATATTTTTTTAATGTCATATTATGTCGGCAAACGAGCATACGGATTACCTGATGTTAAGCAATCAGCACCGCCCATTGACACCTGCAACATCGAGTTACGAGTGCGTTGCCGACTTTTTGGTGATTAGGGATTTGGAGAGTAAGTGATAAGGGAGGCGACGGATTGGCACATGGACACCCCCAACGGAGGAGTTACGAGTGCGTTGCCAACCTTTTAGAGATTAGGGTTTTAGATATTAAGGGATTGGGGAGGGATCGGGGGTGGGGAAAGGTTGGGCCTTGGGTAACCTCACTCACACGGCGAAACACCTCGCTGTAGTTGTTTCACGCCGGTTTTCTGTGATGCCGTGGTATCACTCCGGTCGAGCCGACCCATTTGTGTCGAAGTTTGGCTCTTCCACACTTAGATTAGACATTTATATTAGACACTTTAAACTTATTACAAAAATTATTAATTCTTCATTGTTCTTGTTCCAGCCTTCACCGGTATTTCCAGCTACATCGCATGGATCGAGAAAGAAACTGGTCTCGTCTTCAACCCTGAAGCCGTTCCCGCTGAAGCAGTCCACTTCGTCTAATAAGTCTCAATCACCACACAGCTCAACTATAACGTGGTCCTTCGATCCAACTTGGTCCTAATTTGGTCCTTAACTCCCTTGTAACATCTTCCTTTAGAAATGGCAATAAATAATTGTGTTCCTGTACCCCAACGGTCTGATAACTGATATTTCGAGCTGTGTTAATTATTGTAATAAATAATTTAACAAATTCCATTTTTTGTTTTACTATTATTTACCGTGAAATACGGTTAATACCTAAACTTTAATAGATTTTGCCAAAGACTTGGCCTGCAAAAAATTCTAGACTATTATATATCTCTGTGCCAAATTCCATTCAGATCTTTTCGGGTGTTTAAATGTGGAAGAGTAACAAAAGAAAAAACGCGAAAGTAAGTAAATACGTATGGACATCCATACGTATTTACCTATAAATCGGGTAAGTAATATTTTAACTCATCGATTGCAGCACATAAAGACGATGTTACTCATTTTATGTATTTATCCTAACTAATATTATAAATGCGAAAGTAACTCTGTCTGTCTGTCTGTCTGTCTGTCTGTTACGCTTTCCCGCTTAAACCTCGCAACCGATATTAATGAAATTTGGTACAGACAATCTTTAGACCCTGAGACAGAACATAAGCTACTTTTTTTTTCGAAAAATAGGGATAAAGGGTTTGAAATAGGGGTTAAAATTTTGTATGGGATTTCGGAATTTTTAAAGATAAAACCATAAAACTTAATATTTAAGTACTTGATAAGAAAATATGAAATATTTGTTCTAGCATTTTTGAAATTTCGACCAGCTAGGGGGTGAAGTAAGGGTTGAAAGTTAGTATGCAATTTCGTCAAATATCACGTCATAAGAAACAAAAAATCGTGTGTACTAGCATTTTGAAAATTTTATCAGTGTGATATGTAGTGAAATAGGGGATGAATTGAAGATAAGACCCGGAACGGATTCGGAACGGGGTCTACAAAGCCAACCTTTATGTAGGTAAGTATATGAAATCTTAACTATTGAACCTAGGAACATGTAATTTCGAAGTTTTGGGTGTATAAAGTTACAAAATAGTTCACTTTCGAAGTATAAATTCCTTTTAATGAACACTCTGCATCGCCGTCGCTGCCGTCGGCGTCGCGCACATTCGCCGAAGTGCGGCGCGGCGCTGTCGTGTGGTGGGGAAGCGCACGAATCTAACTATGTCTACCCGAACGGACAGACGCGTGAGGACAGAGGTCGTTGTCGGGTGCGATAAGAGAAATTTGCGCTTTAGAGAATTACACTTTTCGAACCAGTAAAATTATTTTATTATTTCGTCTAACTTTTTAAGTGTTTTTTATTAATTAGATCCTGTAAATAAATTTTGTACATACTTAATATTTCTTTTAGTTCATAGTTACAACGTTACAAGTAGGTAGGATAGTTTCCGTTACTTTAAATAAATACGATTTGCTTTTATTTCCTTTTTTTATTCAATTAATCTAATAGCATCCTACTTTTTTGCATTGGTTGTAAATAAGTACTTATCCAAGTAGGTGCAGGTAGGGTGAACAAAGCTTTTTTAATATAATAAATCTGAATCTGTACATCTGTTTTGTTCGATTCATTTCATTTTTGTTGTTCTACGATGCCTCGCAAACGAAAGTCCGATTTAGCTAAAAGCTCTAGCAGAGCTCGGGCTGCTAAACTTGATAGATCACTGGAATGAGACTTCTCAACAGACCTAAGCTCGCCAAGCCATTGATGCCGAGCGTCACGCGGCTCAAAGAGCTGCTGAGACTTCTCAACAGACCCAAGCTCGCCAAATCTTAGATGATGAGTCAAGCTTCGTACATAGCCGCAGAGACCTCCGAAGAAACACGTAGACGACGTTTAATTAATGCCGAGCGGCAAGCAGAAAGGAGACGTACGTTTACGATGAATACGTGGGAGGCATTTGCCGATGCTGCTTTTGATTATGATCCGTTACTTGATTACTTTAATCATCGATTAGTCCTCATAGGTAGAATGGCCAATAAATGCAGACACTGTGAGGCACTCAAGTGGAAGGAAGAGACCCTAGGTATGTGCTGTTCTGGAAGCAAAGTATCAATACCAACGCTGGTGACCCCGAGGAGCAACGACAGAAGAAAGGACAGCAATGAATCTCGGCGATTTTTTCCTGGCATCATGCCTGGATTTTCACCCACATTTACGGTACAAGGGCAAGTTTATCATAGGATTGGTTCTTTGCTTTCCACAAACAATAATCAACCAAAATTTCTACAGATTGATTTTATGGGAGACGAAAACAGCGAGGTTGACCATTTTTTTTTGTGAGGGGAAAATCATCAAATAACTTCTCCCGCCCAGGGCCGAGCGGGAGGGAATGTCAGACTCTTACTGACTAAAAACCCCCCTGTTCCTTCTCCTGCTCTGGGACGAGGTCGCGGTACCTCATTGCGCTTACCCCGCAACCCCGGCTGAACATCAGCCCTTTAGGGCCCCGTCTGTGGTGGTCTATTGGCTCTTTGAGGCGCGCGCGGAACGCTACGCGCCGTGCGTTCGGGCCTGGTTCTGGTCGGGCGGCGAGCTGCCCTTACTCGCCGACCTTTGAAACTTTATACACCCGTGCTTAAGGTGGCCGGAGATCGTCCCTCGATCCCCGACGCCCGTAGTGTCGCCAGTTGCAGCGGCTGGGGCGTGAGGAGGAGGATTGCTCCCTCACGCGGGCCGCCTCTCTCTTTGCGAGCATGACTGCTTCACAAAAGGACGGCGAGAGAGACGGCGTCCCAGTTCCTCTCACTCCGCACCATGGCCTCGACTAAGGCCGGGCGCGAGAGGTCGCCGCCGCCGATCACTTCCCTGAGGATACGGCGGTGCTTAGCCCAGGCAGGGCATACCGCTACCGTATGCTCCACCGTATCCTCTAGAGCGAGGTTGACCGTTAATGGCAAAATATTGAAGGAGATGAGAGGGACATTGTTTTCTTCCTCATTAATACCTTCAAAACAGCCTTAGAAAAAATGCCACGGGAAAATCACAAATTAGTAATACTCGGCAATCGTACGCCAAGCGGGGAACATGAAAGACGTTATAATGCACCCTTAATAAACGAAGTCGCTGCCATGGTGTGTGGTGAACAGTTCGCATCGCGCCATATTGTTTTTCAAACCCATGATAACACAATGATCAGGGTGTCCGACACACACAAGTTTTATGACGCACTACAATACCCGCTTATGTTTAGAAATGAACAAGAGGGTTACGTACGAGGGTACCGTTTTCAAATAAGGGACCAGGATTGACAAAAACTAATTTGACGCGGGCGAAGCCGCGGGCGGAAGCTAGTTTGCAATAAATACAGGTTCATATGTTGCACAACTAAATAATTTACATTATAAACTAGATCAAGCAACTTTAATGCTTCTTTACTATTCTATCAGTTCTTTGCTAATAAAATTAAGTAAAGCTAGCAAAAAAAAAAATATTTCACCAAAAAGTTTCATTACAAGTTAAATCCACGACATCTGTTAACAAAAAAGGGTCTGAATATGATACAGATGTGTACATAAGCAATTATATTATATAAGTGTTGTTTTATGAGTGAATTATAAGCTTTCGTAACGCATCGACGATACCGGCGGTCAAAAAAATGAGGTTAAGTAGCGGTGCAACTGCGAGCGAGTAGCGATACTAATTTTATTATTAAACTAGCGACCCGTCTCACCTTCGAACAGGTGCAAAGCTAATACTAAATTTCTCCACTATTTCATCATCAGCCTATAAGTGCCCACTGCTGAGCAAAGGCCTCTTCTCATACAGAGAAGGTTAGAGAATTAATCACCACGCTTGCTCAATGTTGGCGATTTCAAACTTATAATTAGAAATTGTAAGTCCAGGTTTCCTCACGATGTTTACCTTCACCGTATGTCAATGGTGTCTAAATAAGTACATACATATAACTCGGAAAAAGTCACACTGGTATTTGCCAGGTTTCGAATCCACACCCTCATGGAGGAGAAGAGGGCTGTAGCGGCACTATCACGTCGCTACATTACTTAGATACGATAGAGATAAGACATACATGTTAATTGTTGCACGTTTGTTAGGATAGCTAAATCTGAAAATCTCACGCATCTTCTTAGTATATAAGCACCAGCAATTAAAGTAATAAACAGACCTTAACCATCTACAGTCTCATTATTTACCTTGCCACGAAGTCTGGCAAATTGGTGACCCCGACGTGATATGAACACGCAACCTTCTGATTACACCACTACATTTTATGATTATGATATGATTCTCCACTATTAAATGGATGTTATTACTTACAAACCTCTTCAATCACTCTATGTATTAAAAAAAATACCGCCACAAAATTCGTTGCGTAGTTTTAAAGATTTAAGCATACATAGGGATATAGGAAAAACAAACCACTTGGTTTTATACTATGTAGTCATTATTCTCAAACTTTAGTAGTGTTTTAAAACGAAAGTAAGATATTTTTTGTTTGTAAAGTCTTTATGTTCGTCGTTTTAAAAAGCAACGAGTAAAGCCGCAGACAATAGCTGGTTATGTAGTTATCTTTAACATCTTGTCTGCCGGTATATGAGATACAATTGAAAACACATTGTGACCCGCTTATTTATATGTACTTAAGTTCCACGGGTTAAAAAGCGAACATGGCTTACTTATGTATCTTAATTGAATTCAGTTATCAATACTAACAGCAGTGTGATTCTGTAAGACTTCATTGTAAACCTCGAATCTGAATCCGCTGTGAGTAGTAGTACACTAGCGCTACACTTGCGAGTTGAACTAAATTGACAGCAAAATTTCGATAGATAAAGTATGAGATGACGTTAAAAGTGGCATTCTATAATGTAATTTCCCCGTCACTTCGACGCTCACTTCGCACTCGAACACGATTCAAAATCAAACATATTTTATAGAATCGACGTGCAGAACACCAACTGTTCATCTCGATGCTTGATCACACACATCACATAATCGGTGTTATAAGTGCCCACTGCTACACAAAAGTGCATTATGCTACATGCTTGCTTAAAACGGATTGGCGATTTGAAATTTATAAGTAGAAAAACATTACCTATAATTTTATCGCTCATATTATTTTAGTTGAATAAAATTTTACTTTATGTATATAATACTTTATTAGCGAACTTTGCCCGCTTTCGGTAATACATTTTCATATCTTACCTAGTTACCTATAACCAAGTTTTTCACGTTAAAATATCAAAAGTTTTGTTTTAAACACAACCATTAAATGAAGTAAGTATCTTAGGAAAGATTCTAAGGAGCTATTACATAATAACGAACTTCTAAATATTGTTTTGAGTAGCAATTTAGGCACTTATTACCTTTTTATTTGTCAGTTTGTTTAACAAACTTGAGTACTTATTTATAGCACCCATTTTACTTTCTTATTAAGTAACTATAATGGAGTAAATTCTTTGTATTTACTGCTTTAGAATCTAAGTTTCATCAAACTCAATTAAAATATAAATAGTAAAAATGATAGTTGTTTCATTCATTTATTTATTACTATCATCAATATCAAATAGAAATACTGATGCAGTAAATTTACAAAATCGCTCGTCGCTGTCCGCTCACACTGCGACCGAACCTCTCATCCACTATTTACATTGAAGTGTGCCACGCGGTCTCAGTATAAATCGCTCCGCTATTATGTTAAAATCGCTGGAAATCATTGATTTCCTCATTGTGGCGGGCTTTTACCCACGTAGCGATAATATTGTAGTTTTATTATTATTTCCTTGAATGTAACTTATTGGTTTACAAGTTATAGCGAAACTGTCACCAAGTAATATCAATTTTAATATTAAAAAAGTCTTAAATATTATTTATTTTTTATGATACCGCATTGTCTCATCTGTGGTTTAGCCAATCCGATTGTCTCACTAGAAATCTTGGGATCATCAGCATATAATTATCATCTTTAAGGTCTTCAAAGCACTTGTATCTCACTTCATGTTTCAAGGATCTATAGGCGACGCCGAGTGCTTACCACCAGAAAATGAGTACTTAATAATATTCAGGCCACCAGGTGATCCACAGGGCTCGCTTGCTTTTTATGTCATGTAAAGGTATATAACTTGACTTGTTACTATAATACATTTATGTAATAGTTACTTCGAAGCTTAGGAGTTTAATATTAATAAATAACCTTATAAATTCAATGTTAAACAATAAATCATTAGTTTCATAACTGTCTTCCACCTTAAGCGCTGGCCTCCGGATGACAAGCAAAGGCTGGCCTTACGTGCGCCCATCAATTAGCTAACAGACCACCATAAATGGGTTCCACTAAGACCTATGTCCTGTCAGATTTGAGGGTGCAACTGCAACATAGTATCGTGCCCTCGAGGAGTAAGATAAGTAACGGGGAGGTTTTTAGTCACAAAATGTAGGAGCGCCATGCTTTGACAAGAATGCGTCGGCTCGACCGGAGTCATACCACTACCTCACAGAAAACCGGCGTGAAATAACCACAGCGTTATGTTTCGCCCTTCTCCAATCTCTAATCCCCAAAAGTTCGGCAAGGCACTTGTAACTCCTCCGTTGTTGCGGGTCATCATGGGCGACGACTACTCATTTCAGGTAATCCGTCTGCTCGTTTGCAGATCTATCACACATAAAAGAGTAATAATCTGAATAAAAAAACTCAAACAAACTTCGTAACATACTAAGTATTTATTATGTGTAGCTACTCTCACGCGGTTTCACCCGCTGCTCAGCTCCATTTGATCGTAGCGTGATGTTTGATAGTCTATAGCACTCAGGAACATTGTAGCTATCTACCAGTGAAAGAATTTTGGCAATACGAGAAGCGGTTCCAAAGATTAACACCTACATACAAACTCACAAATTTTACATCTTTATAATATTAGTTTAGATTTAGTATGCCTACATTACTAATGCTTAGATTTCATGCATAACGTCTGCAGAACGTGTTTCTGTCGTGTGATGTGATATTTGTCTTTCCGACGTTCGTTACGTCAAACTTTTGATATTTCCTTACACCGCTAATGCTGACTTAAGGCAGTGTCTTATAAGCCTGCTAACATATTTTTTTTCTTTATAGTTTTTTTTAAATGATAAAACGGCTTACCTAGTGGTAAGCAATCCGCGACGACGTTGCCGACCTTTTGGAGATAAGGGTTTGGGGGTTTAGGGATTGGGAAATGACTAAGGGAGGGAGAAATAATGAAAATCGGACGATAAGTGAACTAGGTTCAACTCCATGTCTCAATAATCACAGAAAACTATTTGATTATTACCTAATACTATAAAGAGGTAAAATTTGTAAGTTTGTATGTAGGATAATCTTTGTAACCGCTGGTCGGATTTCCAAAATTCCTACACTGATATATTGCTACAATGTTCCTGGATGCCTATATAAATTATACTTGATTGGCGTATTTTAGTCGAGATAATGTTGATGATATCCAGTATTTTTATAAAATTATAGAAAAAGAAGAACTACTTATCATAAAAATGCAAGCCTCAAAATCTTAATTACCTAAACATTACAAAAATTATAAGAATTTTCTAGAAAAAAAAAACTTGTCTTCTCAATTAAAAAGGCATTCATAAATCTCACTGTTAGCTATCCGAACGTAGGTAATTTACATAATTGACTTCCATACCGACGCAACTTAACCTTGGCCAAGTAAAAGTGATATTCAGATTGCACTCAACAATTATATAGTGGAATTGCTTAGTTCGAGCGTCGCTATGGTTTCATAAGATTTGGTTAAAAACTTATGTGTTCGTGTGACCTCGAGGCGTGGTTGAGAAACGTCTGATGCGCCGGTTGCCGAGACGAGAAACCGTCTGGAGAACTTTTGGCTCCGATACTTTTTGAACGTGATATTCATCACGTCGGCATGAATGGAGGAAAATGGCAGAGTATGTAGGTAGTACATGTTACATTTTGGTTATTGAAAGCTGGTGTAGCTCAAATACAAGCCTTGTTTTCCTTGAAGGATTAACAGAAATGTGTTTATGGTCGATAAGTTTAGGTACAGACCTGACTAAATGTAAACAATCTTGCCATGTCTTTTTATCGAAAAGTTGTCTAAAAATTGTTAGTATGTAAAATTTTTTACTATCAGCTTTTTACGTAAATCGATGTTAGTATTATATACATTGAATGTAAACTACATTTAATTGATCAAACCCAAGCGAACCAGTCTCTTTCCAGGCATATTTTGATGGCGTCTTTTTACATACAGTGATTTAAGAAGTTTATACATTTGTACAACAACATCTATTAAACAGTTAAGAAATTTTGTATCAGAATTGCACTCGTGCGAAATTGGGGCGATCCCAAAATGGTCTGGTCGATTGTTACTAAGGATATAACCAAAGTAGATTCAATGTCACTATCAACATACTTCTAATATTGAAACAATAGACTCTTGCTCAGTGGTCGATGCCATCGCTCACTGACTCTTGAAGAGACGGACTTAAGTAGATTAAACACAAAATGTGGGTTAAGATGCCGCCGACCGGACCTTAGAGGACAGTGATGTAATGTAAATCTAAAACAAAACAGGGCCGCATTTGGAAGGTTTAATTTTTTTTTTTTTTTTTTTTTTGTGAGGGGAAAATCATCAAATGACTTCTCCCGCCCAGGGCCGGGCAGGAGGGAGTGTCAGACTCTTACTGACTAAAAACCCCCCTGTTCCTTCTCCTGCTCTGTGCCGAGGTCGCGGTACCTCATTGCGCTTACCCCGCAACCCCGGCGCCGCATTTGGAAGCTAATGTGGTCGTGTAGGAAATGGTACTAAAAATATCCGTCTAGTGTCTTAATTATATGACTTATTGTAAGTGCATAGAAAAAAGTACGTACCATTAGAAATATGCAATACTAATGTTGACAAACTGCACGTGGTTGGCACAGAACCTAGGCAACTGAGTGATGTGCATGTGCAACGTGTCGTAGGTTCGATCGCCGGACGGAACTACACTTTGTGGTATCCGCAAATTGTTGTTTCGAGCCAAACGCACGATACAGAGAAAACCCGAATGTGGAATAGCGTTTCCTCTTTTTGGTTTTTTTAAAGGAAAAGATGTTACCCTCTTTTTGTTGTGTACCTACATTATATGGGTTTGTTATGTTTAACTAAGTAACTGTATTATCGTAATATCTACAAATAAAATCTTTAAGTGTAATTGAAATCGTGTCGCTTAAATAGTCAAAAGAATATCCGTATTTCCTTCACGTAATTCCTTCCGTAATTCTCTTTTAAATTATTATCTGCTGAAGTTCGAGATAATTCCTATAAATCGTCATAAAGGAATTCCATCCAGACAATGCGTGAGCTATAAAAATGCAATTAATTTTATTCGTCCATAAATTGTATGTATAAGTAGGCATGCATACCTACTTTAATAAGAATTAATAAAATTTTCTTTAATTAAAACGTGGAAGGTGAAGTTAAATGGCTTATTAAAAACGGGCATAAACCGTATGAAAATATTTTATTGTTTCACGCCGTCTCATTTCGCAGCTGATATAAAATAAATAAGGTCAGATTGACGGAGCATTCCGCAATAATTCACATAAATATGTATGGTAATCAACAACAAACCTTTTACGAGCAACTAAAGTTGACATATTTACATGGAAATAAAGACGAGCCTTGTTGAGTTAGGTATGTGTCGATATTGTGTTTTTTTAACCGACTTCCAAAAAGGAGGATGGTTCTCAATTCGACCGTAAATATGCTTTTTTTATTTTTGTTCGCCGATATCTCTGTTATTTATGAACCGATTTTGATAATTATTTTTTTTGTTAAATCACACTGTTTTTCAGTTTATAAAAAAAAACCGTATGAGGCTTCCATAAATTAGTATAATTTATGTAGGTCATCTCTATTCAGTTCCATTCAGTGGATAGTACAAATTAAACAATACAATTGAAGTAGGAGTTTAATCTCTTAAGAGATACCATAAAAACAATTCTTAAATAGAAACTTATAACAACGATAACTTTTAACAGAGAACATTAACAGCAGTATTGTATTGCATTTTTTTAATGATTATAATTACATATTACGAAAGTAACAGAAGTCGTGAATGAATGTGTCACACAGACGGCCGGCAAGTCCGGCCCTGGGGAAACTTTCTCTCTTACAGCATCACAGATTGCGCATGATTCTTGTTAACGCATTTGGCCACATTGTGCGCAGGCGCGAGCCGCGAGCGCCATGTCTCGCGAATTTAACTATTATTAAAATAATTTTCACAATAAAAATTTAAATAAAAAAATGTACAAGTCCGCCCCTGCGTGAGTGAAAGAGGATTGCAGTTTTGAATTTTATTGTGTGAGTGATGTTAATTTAAGATGAGGTGTTAAGTGTTCAAAACTTTGAGATACACACATACATAGGTTATTATTTATTTATATGTGCTACTTAAAGTTTGCACTGAAAAGGGTCGTTTTTCAATTTCGTTCAGCAAAATTGTTTTAAATATTCAATCTGCTTTTGTAAGCGACATAAAAGTTTACGTTTTTAACTTTTAAATAAATGATAAAACACTTACCTTAACATTGAATGGAAAAGTGTGCGGTAAAATGTTTACTTTACTAAATTTTCTCATTACTTTTCCAGATAATATTTTCTTAGTAAAATAATGTTGCATATATAAATAATCAAAATGTTTGGGTTCAAACGATCGTCAGTGCAACTTGTGGTGATACTGGCTTGGCTTTTGCGATACTACACCTTCGGATCTGTAGTTTTATGGTGTATAATCGCATGTGGTTTGAGTTTGGCTGTTGTTTTGGCTGTGACGACCTATGACCATGACTACTGGACATCCCGAGGGGTGTTCTCCCCGCCTGCATGGCCGGTCGTGGGCCACATATTGTCCGTGGTGATGTTTAAGGAGCAGGGAGGCATGTGCTTCAAGAGGATATACGATACTTATAAGGATAAGAGATTTTTAGGTAAGTTCCTTCATGCATACTTCTTTTTAATGGTATACTTCATGACACATGTGTTAGGGCTATTTTCTTTTGATTACTAGTGTGTATCAAGTTGTAAGATTTCGGAGATCTATGTAACTGTAGTTATTGATAATCCAAAATGCAATAATAATAGTTTTGTCTACCCTTTAATGGGACCTGAGAGCTTCTGCCAATCAGCATTAGCACTTCCAGCTACTCGAACAAAGGTCAGACCATCTTGTGGCTTGAGTGCAGCAAATATTAAGATTCGTTGTTGTTGTTGATTAAACTTCATTTATTTATTAAAGGGTTTACCAACAGATAAGGCTTGAGGTAACATTTTTTACATAATTAATTATAGGTTAACTAACATTCGCAAAAGTATGATAGAATAAGTATCTACATACAGAACTAAAATGAGTTCAAGTATTTATTAGAGAGCAACAGATATATTATTATGCAAGCAATGACACAATTATTATTAACGTTTGTAGACCAGTATAACATTTTATTAAACTCTGAAAAAGCTGATGACTTTTTTTAGATACTTAGCACGGCGACAAACAGACAGACGATACCTGATGGTAAGCAACTAAGTAATGGACATCTTCAACATTAGAGGAGTTACAAGTATGTTGCCGGCCTTTTGGGGATAAGAGATAGGAGATAGGATAAGATACGGGTAGGGGTATCAAACTCTACACTACTCCTAACAATAATATACTATTCCTAATCTTATATTATACATGTGAAAGTTTGTGAGAATGTATGGATGTGTGTATGTTTATTAGTCTTTCACGCGAAAACAGATGGACGGATTCGGTTGAAATATGATATGTAAGTAAGTGATACCCTGGATTAACCGATAGTTTACTTTAAATCCACCATGTCGCCAGCGGAAGTTAGTATTAATATATAGCACTAGCTTCCGCCCGCGGCTTCGCCCGTGTGATAGATTGTTAAAAATTTGCCTATGTACTATTCCAGGGTGTATCCGATGCCTGTTCCAAATTCATTCGGATCCGTCTAGCCGTTTTGGCGTGATTGAGTAACAAACATCCAAACATCGTACCTTTAGCATTTATAATATTGGTAAGATGAAAAACAGAAAAAAGCCCGATTAATACCGAAAAACAGTTTCAGTGTAGTCAGTAACTGCCAAAATTCGTTGAAATACAAAACAATATCATGAATGCAATTCAGTATGATGTAATTTAGTACCTAATTGGTCATTGATTCATTGAATATTTTGACACGGTCTGACTAGCAGCCGGTTGCTCGTTCATCCTCCATATCACATGTTACTGGTGTAACCAGTTCAGCAAGTACAGTTGGACCTGAAAGCCGAAAACGTGATGTTGGTTTTTAGGTATGGGAGAGCTATGCCACTACAGTGATACCACGGCCTCACAGAATACCGGTGTGAACTAATTCTTAAGTTATGTTTCGCTTTGTTAGTGAGGTTACGAGACGCTCATTCTCTCCATTCCCAATCGCCAAATCTCCAATCCCCAAATCCCCATCCCCCAAATCCCCCAATTTTTTTTTAATGTAAACTGGTCGGCAAACGAGCAGACGTATTAGCTGATGGTAAGCAATCAGCGCGTTGCGAGTGCGTTGCCGACCTTTTAGGGATTAGGGATTTGGAGATTTAGGGATTGAGGAGGGATTGGGGCGGAGAAGGATTGGGTCTCCGGTAACCTCACTCACACGGCGAAACACAACGCTGTGGTTGTTTCACGCCGGTCTTCTGTGAGGCCGTGGTATCACTCCGGTCGAGCCGACCCATTCGTACCGAAGCATGGCTCTCCCACACTTAAAATCCCCCAATTCCCCAAATCACCAAATATCGCTTTATCCCTTACCACCAGGTTATCCGTTTTTTCGTATGCCGTCTTATCTCGTAACAAAAAAAAAAAAATATGATAGTGTGTAATGAGTTGGGTATTTATAACTTTGGCATAGTTAGAGTTTCCGATTGCATGTCCGGCCGTAGGGTTGTTTCCTAAGTCAAAAATAAATTATTTCGACGTTTTAATACAATAAAATACTGACTTCGTACTTGAGCTACTTTCATACTATACTTTATTGAACTATCGATGCAATAAATTCCGATATTTTCTTTAATTTTTGAAAGTTTATATTCTAGCTATTTTTTATGAAATGAGTAAGCAGTTTGACGCAAAAAATACTATGGCATCATAACTCATTGCGGTTTCATACAAATTTCATAGCCTTTTTGGAAGGAACGTTTAATTTGACTAGTTGAAAACTTCCGGATTTCGAAATTAAAATGAAAGAAAATGGAGTTTTTGGACGTTGCCATACCAAGTATTCATGGCAAATTTATTAAAAATAACTGATTATTATTTCCGAAAATTAACTGAGAAAAGCTGTAGTAGGTATGTATACTTATAGGTTTTATTTTATTTCTGTAGCTCTGTTTTCGAACAACTTTATAAAACCTATGTTTACGAATAAACGATTTCATTTCACTTGTTTTAGTCTTAGGTTATTAATTTTTTTGTTTCCTTTTTCTCTTTTTCCTGTTGTTTTAGTTTATCACGCAGTGTCTTATGTCTCTTACATTTTTCCTTTCGAAGGACTGCAGGAAGAGATTCCATATAGGAATATGCAGTACCTATGTACCTCTGTCTCTGTATTTGTTCTCTATTTACTGTATGTTTGATGCGCATAAATAATAAATAAATAAATATTAGTTTCAAATCACAGCGGGACTCTTATTCATGACCAGCGTGTGCTTTCCGGCGCCGTCGCGTAGCTGACGAAAGTCTTTGAAACTAGTAGAGTTATTCTCAGTTATTTCAGGTTAAGATTTTTTTACCATTTTTCAAAAAAAAAAAATGTCCTACAAGTCTCTATACCAAAATGAACACTAAATTTCCTTAAAATCCGAAGATAAAATGAAAAGTTTGTATGGAAACTCTAAGAAATTTAAACACTTTTCACAACGCTCTCCCACGTTACTTATACTTCATAAGTGACGTGGGCGAGCTAAGCTTTGGCACGAATGGGTCGGGTCGACCGCAGCGATACGACGGCCTCACAGAAAAACAGCGTGAAGCAGCCACAGAGCTGTATTTCGTCGTGTGAGTGAGGTTACGGGAGGCTCTATTTCCAATCCTTAAATATCCGAAACCCTTATCCCTAAAAGGCCGGCAACGCACTCGTAACTCTTGGGCACATGGGCGGTGCTGATTGCTTACCATAAAAATATTTTAGCATTCGTTCATCAGAATTTTACAAAAGTAATTCTTCTGTTTCATCTTTCTTCATTTCACATTTCCAGGCTGTCACCAATTCTATCAGCGCACTCTAGTGGTCCGCGACCCTGAGCTGATCCGAAGAGTGTGCGTCAATGACTTCCAGCACTTCACGGACCGAGGTTTCTTCTTCAACAAGGACGTGGATCCTCTCGCAGGGTCTGTGCTGTTCTTGAGGGGGAACGAGTGGAAGAGGCTTAGAGCAAAGATATCGCCTATATTCTCGTGAGTAATTTAAATATATAAGTGCAATTATAATCTAAATCTTTATGCATTAACTTCACTAGTTTATGGTCATAATTGCTTTGATATACGATGCTGTCATGCACGATGTCCTCACTGAAACTGTTTTTGAGTGACAATGTCATGAATTTCAAAATTAAATAAGCGAAACAAATATCAAAACTTACTAGTAAGCAGACTCCTAGAGTAATGTACAGGTCGGCTGACAGTCACGCTCCAAATATTAGTCACTGTATTGTCACGTCAGTGAGCGCAATCTCCTGTATCTTCATTGCACTCAACTAAGTGACAAAAAATGTTTATCCTTTTCAGTCAGAAACATTTGAAAATCGACAAAACATAAGAGATAAACGACTACAAGTGTAGTATACCGTCCGCTTACACCTAACATAGCAATTTTATCCATTCCAGGCCAAACAAACTGCGCGGCATGTTCCCGCTTATAGAGAACACAGCGGTCGAATTCGTGACTAGGGTACAAGATTTGCTGACGCAGAACAAAATGGGATCGAACAAAAATGGCTCAGTGAAGACAGATGGTCAATCGAATGGTGTAAAACAAATCTCTGCTGTGGTGAATTCCGAGAAACTTGTCGGTGGTTATACAGCTGATGCCATAGTGCCCTGCGCTTTTGGTTTAAAAAGTAACGTCATGTATAATGAAGATGATCCCTTCGCTGTAGCTTTGCATGCCTTCTACGAGATGTCGCTGTTTAATATTTTTGAGAAGTAAGTTTTTATTCTATTTTTAAATTTGGTCAGTGATGTTAATTCATGTTTTGGAGAACTACTAAGCATTAAGCGTAAGAATTTTATTGAAAAACTTTACTTGTAAGAAGGCAAATATTGACATATTGAACAGGCAATTTTCTAAACGTTGATAAAACTGCAAAGAATTTGGTGCACACGGTACGGTATCATCATACAAACAATCATATCAAGTATACAAACATTTAATCTATAATAACATATATTTTTGAATGTTGAAAAATTTAAAAAAAAAAACATGACAAAAATGTTCCTTTTTGAAAAAACTGGCTACGTTCTAGAGGATAATTAATGATTTGCTTTCTTTATGGTTTGCCGCACTCTACAGTAGGCCGTTATAATCATTTACAGCAGTACGAAATAATGTTTAACGTTTTAAATATTATAGGTAGATAAAATATCCAACAGTAATTGTATTATCTTCCCTATATCTTTAAGTATTATTGATGTAATCCTACACGCGTACCTACACAAACGCTTACATATTCTTCCCTTGCCCACAAACGTTCAATCAAAACTTTTAATTGACACTAATTCTGATTGTATTAATTCAGACAAAATCCAAGTATTTATTCAAGACGCGGCCACGTGTATTGCCGTCGATCGGCCATTTAATAAATAAGAAAGAGATTCCTAACTTTTATAGTTTGAGACTAAAACTAGCCAGTCATTAATTATTTAGATAGTTTATTGAATAATCCACTTACAGATAAGAAAACTTATTTATCTTAATCACGAAATTACTCTATGAGTCTAATTTTTTCGTAAGTTTCTTAAGTTATGATTGTTGTTAATGTTGCGATGTTAATTGTTTTCGGCCTGGATTATGTTCTTATTTCGAATTCGAATTTCGAAAACCGAAAATGTAATTTGAATTGTTTGTTTTTGGCTTGGATTATCTGGCTCTTATTTCAAATTTGATTTTTTTAGAAAATGTGTTTTTTTTAAACCAAATAAATTCTACAGATAAATAATCATATTGATTATTTGTAGTTTGAAACATTGAACTAAGTATACACTTGGGGATATAGATGCGTAGCCTGGTGGGTCTGGGTGAAGCAAGGAACTTGTAAAGAATACGTACTCCGTCTCCGCTAAGCCGAGTTGCAATTTTTCTTCCATAAGTTTTTAATGATTGGTGTATTATTTTCAGGACGATGCGTCAGTTCTGGCCGGCTTTTGTATTGTTCTTTCGAATGAGAATCATACCAAAGAAGACACACGAGTTCTTCTACAACATCGTCACAACTGTGCTGAGGGCGCGGGAGAATGGTAATAACATATGTACATATTTTATCTCTACTTCTGTGTGTCTGAATACTTAACAATACACATTTTCTAAAGACACCTTGCCCTGCACTAGGATATTCTTCTAGGTCGTGGGTGCTTTTACACACATATAATTTTACATTTTTACATACATCACACCTAGACCAGGAACAACAATTTGTGGATCATCCAATAGCCAAGTCAAGCGCAATAATTTTCTGTTGCCCTGGCCTAGGGCAGGAGACGGAACAGGGTGGTTTTTAGTCAGTAAGAATCTGACACTCCCTCTCGCCTCACTTTTAACGCCCACTCAGGGTGTTTGATAATTTAACACAATCAATAAAAAAAAGTCGAGATATTTTATCAGTCGTGGTGGCCCGGAGGTTAAGGAGCCCACTTCTCATGCATGAGGGTGTGGGTTCGAAACCTGGCAAGTACCAATGTGACTTTTTCCGAGTTATATGTACTTTCTATGATTATTTAGACACCACTGACATACGGTGAAGGTAAACATCGTGAGGAAACCTGGACTTATAATTTCTAATTATAAGTTTGAAATCGCCAACCCGCATTCAGCAAGCGTGGTGATTAATGCTCTAACCTTCTCTGTATGAGAAGAGGCCTTTGCTCAGCAGTGGACACTTATAGGCTGATGACGATGACGAATAAAAAAAAAACCTAAAAGGCCGTCAACGCGTTAGCAACTACTCTGGTGTATGGTGTCTGGTGTTGCCTATGTTCATGGGAGATGCCAATTGCTTACCATCAGATTATATTAGTCTGCTCATTAGTTGTTCTATTCCATAAAAAGTATCTTCCATTCCGAAATCATCGAATTATTGGCCCCTGGATGAGGCGAAAGGAAGAACTGGACTTTGATACGAGTTCCTGTGATGCTTCATTTGTTTCGTTCCACCTAACTCACCTTAAAGTCACATTCAAAACGTCGTTTCTCCTCGTCCATTTAGTAGCCTCGTTTATAACGATACATAACTAATAATGGTACTTATGTAAAATTGAGTTTGTTTATTTATTATATGTATTCGTTGTTTGTTAATTTCTATATTGATTTCCCAGAGGTAGCTCTGTAGGGAAGATCAAATAGTATCAGCTTGCTGAAATGTTAGTTTAGTCGGAATAACTATCTTTACTAATATTATAAAGAGGTAAAATTTGTAAGTTTGTATGTAGGGGGTAATCTTTGGAACCGCTGGTCGGATTGCCAAAATTCTTTCACTGATAGATAGCTACAATGTTCCTGAGGGCTATAGGCTATATAACATGACGCTACGATCAAATGGAGCTTAGCAGCGGGTGAAACCGCGCGAGAGTAGCTAGTATTTAATATATATGTTGGTTACGGTGTCGCAACCCGCAAGTATGACTGTTGAAAGAGGGGTCTCGGGCTCAATTTACACTGTTTTTAAAATCTCGTTGACTTTTATTTTGTGGGGAGAATGAAATGAAATGACTTTTCTCGCCCATTGTGTGGTGAGAGAGAGTGTCAGATTCTTGCTGATTAATACCTTCCCAGTTCCTTTTCCTGCTTTAGGGCGAGGCCACGGTACCGTATTGCGCCTGCCCCTGGCCGATTCGTGCCGAAGTATGGCTCTCCCACACTTTAAAGCTAATAAAAATCACCCGTATTCATTTCATTCACACCTTTCATTTAAAGGTTACTTAACCCTTATGATAGCTAATATATTCAAAACAAAATTAAAAGTTTAACTTACTACAGGCAGTTATACGAGAAAACGGATAATGATACCTATGTTTATATCGTTAATATTAATAGAGACGCATTACGCACAATTGACAATTTGCTCTTACAAAAATTACAGGCGATCAAGAAAAGCGAGGAGATTTTATAGATATGATGATGGCGCTAAGGAATGACGAAACAAACAATAATTGTAAGAAGGATCAAGAAGATGTTGAAATCAGTAAGTTTTTGTTGTTATAAGTGGAATATTTTGACACTTTACACTATCCCAAGTCTACTGTGGGTAGGTAAATTCATTCATTTTTTATTACCTACGCTTTGTTTAAGATTTAAATCATTATTCTTATTAAACAAGGGTTTAAAACTTCAAATATACTTAGCGCGTACAAAAAATTTAACAATAAAATTAAAATAATGCGCTTCCTCAATGAAAAGATACATTTACGCATTACTACAGCGCGGGCGACGTATCTTGGCGAGTCTGAAGTTAGCCGATTAGCTGCGCAGTACACAATTTTGTTCCTAAAAGATCCATTGCGCAGACAAACGGCTAACTTCAGACTCGCCAAGATACGTCGGCCGCACTGTACATTGTGTCTACATAATGACATTTGAAAGCTGATTCTAGAAAATAATAGCCAATATGTCTATTTGATTTCCATATTTATATTTTTAAAAACATTTTTAGAAATTATTACAAAAAATCAAAAAATGTAATGGTTCAACCTAACGAAAAAATTCATACTTTATCTACCAACTTTGGTAGTTGGTAGTATCTACATATTCTAAAATTTAAAAAATCGTTTTTGTAACATTTCGTAATTTCTTATCGATTTTGCTACTGACCTTACGATCATATTAAAATCAAAAATTTCCTACTTAATATTTCAAAAATGGCGCCTGCAGTTAATCGCGAACTCATTATAAGTTTTATCTTTAACGGTTAAGTTAAAGATAAGTTAATTAATGTTGTCGCATTAATTTTCCAAATTAGGGCAACTCATTTCGATATTGCTTAACTCGTTAACTTTTGTATAATTCCTTTCATAATTTCAAAACTTTTCATATAATTATATCGATTTGTTTATTAACGATTGTTTATGTTTTTGCTTGCTTCTATGTACATTAGTACATAGTAAGTGAATTGTACCTATTTGAACAATTTTTCCTGTAATTGCTGGTGCCATTTTTTCCTTTGTCCGCGAACTCTTCTCTGAATTATAAAACAGAAGTTTCAAGACAAAATGGTTGAATAAGTAGATATAGCGTAAAGATATTTAAAAACAAACTTTAACTCTAACTTGTCCTACTATAATAATAAAATTAAAAAGCGAAAGTTTGTAAATATCGAGTGATGTTTGTTATTTATTCAAGTAAAAACTAATGAATGAATTTGGATGAACTTTGGTAATGAAACAATGAATTTATTTTTCCAAGTAGGCCATATACCTAACAGCACACGTCAATATTACATAGAAAAGAAATATGTAGTCGAAGCCGGCACTATATACTTTGAGAAAAAATGCTGAAATAAATTCAGAGATAGATTATACTGTAGAATAAAACACATAGGCTACTTTTTAGCCGAGTAACGCGAACAAAACCATTCGCAAAAACTTGTACTTATTATATGTTAGTTAATATTTGAAAATAATAAAAATCAACAAAACTAAATAACAAATTACTCACTAGTGTACCAAAATTATTTTCGCAGCTGACATGGTAATATCAGCAAATGCCTTCATTATCTTCCTCGGAGGGTTTGAGACGACATCATCTACCCTGGCCTTCCTATTCCTGGAGCTGGCAGCAAACCAGCAGGTTCAGGAGAAGATGAGAGAAGAGATCAGACAGGTGGTGGAGAAACATGAAGGGAAGATCACGTATGAGCTGTTGCAGGAGCTGGTGTACATGGAGATGGTGATTCAGGGTAAGGGAGTCAAATTTAATGAATACAAAAGTGATTTTAAACGTCTAAAAATGACTTATAATAGTCTGTCAGCTTTTCAGTGATAGTCTGTTTTGCTAAAACTTTTCTATGGACAGCAAAATTCTATAACTTTGCCTAGGTTAAATGAGAAATTTTCCGTTATCAACACAAGTGTTCATGACACAAGTTATTTGATAATCTAATCCCTTCCCTTCCCCTATCCCTTCCCAATCCTTATTTCCGCAACCCCCATCCCCAAAAGGCCGGCAACGCACTCGTAACTCCTTTGGTGTTGCGGGTGTCCATGGGCGGCGCCGATTGCTTACCTTCAGGTAATCCGTCTGCTCGTTTGCCGAATTATACCACAAATAAAAAAAAAACCCTCCCCTCAAAAATATGTGTATTAATAACGTGCCAGATGTGTAAAAGTTTAATCAATATAATAGAATAGATACGCCTTCAAAGATAAAATCTCTTTTTTCCTCTCTCTACACGGTCAGTCTACGTCTCTTTTTGTTCTAACTCGCCTATAGCGGGCCTGATAGAAAAGATTTCAGAAGAAAATAAGCTGTGCCTTTGTACCTAATTGTTGTATTATTTTTCTAGTCCAACTTACTGTATACATATTAAAGTGCATAACTATAAAGATATGCGTCAAGAAGATATTGTACGTATTACTTAGACATACATAGACCTAAATAAGAAGTAGACCTCGCATTTCCCGCTAGTTTCCAATCGTGTGGATGCCAAATAAGTAATTCGTTTCAACACATTCACAAGTCTGTAACCCCAATTGGTTTGTTACTTGTAACCGGAAAAGTTTCTTTTAATGAGTTTTTACTTCCCTACGAGTAATGGCCGTCTGTTTGGTATTAAAAGAACTGTAGCCGTTACACTGGCAGAAGTTACAGGTGTAATAAAACTAGGTCACTGCGAATTTACAGGGTCAGTGTGTATGTTGGACGAAGGTATTAGCAGGTATGAATGATTCAAGAAGTAAGGGGAAGGTTTGGGCTTAAAGAAGCTGTTATATATAGATATATGAAAGGCATCGGGGAAGCTTAGACGCTGGTATAATGATGTGAAAGTCAAAATCATTTACTCCAATTAGACTATAAATAGGTACTTTTGAGACATCAAAGAAGAATATTTGTTAGTCCGTTCGTCAAGATGATGGTGGTCAAAACAGCTGTATTTTGAGGGGGGAGAAATGACTTCTTCTGCCCTGGTTTGGGTAGAGGGAGTATAAGATTATTATAGAGCATAAATGTATGCGCCAACACAGTTCTCTGTTCTCGTACATATAACCTGGTGGAACGGTAGACTAACGAGACTGGAGGACGATCAGGCGGAAGACTAAAGGTTTGAAGTGTTTTTCGATGCCACAACCACTTCCACCTCGGTTTTCTGTCTCCGGACTTACAATGGTTATTTTCATTAGAAAAATCAATTAGCTTTTTTGCTCGCGAGAATCGATACGATTCACAGCACTAGCAGCACCCCAGCCCTTGCGCTAACTATGCAGCAATTGTTATTGATCAGGTAAAATGTGTATCTTATTGAAGTTTTTTTCCTGGCCATTAAGGGTCTGATTGGTTTAACTGTCACTAGCAACCTAATACAAAATGTCTCCACTATTTAATGAGTTTGATTATAAATACATACATAATATACCTTACTCTTTAATCACTCTATTTATTAAAAAACCGTATCAAAACCCGTTGCGTACTTTTAAAGATATAAACACACATAGGGATATAGGGACAGCTAAGCTATGTAGTGATAAGATACCCTGGACTAATTTGGTTGTATTTCCTCCTTCCAGAAACTCTTCGCTTATACCCGCCGTTCCCAAGCATCCAGCGTATGTGCACCAAGGAGTACACAATCCCTGACACCAACATCGTAGTGGAGAGAGGGACCATTGTACTGTTCCCAACGTTGGGCATACAGAGGGATGAACAGGTCAGCTGAAGCTTAATTTATTTTTCTCTTAGTACGTCTTGAAGCTTAGTCGTCAGCCACTTAAAGTCTTTTTTTTTATGGTACAAGTCAGCAAACGAGCAGACGGATTACCTGACGGTAAGCAATCGGCGCCGCCCATCGACACCCGCAACACCAAAGGAGTTACAAGTGCGTTGCCGGCCTTTTGAGGATAGGGGTTGAGGATATAAGGATCGGCAAGGGAGGATAGGATAGAGGAAGGGAAGAGGCGGGTTCTTGCCTCCGGTAACCTCTGCGAAACACAACGCTGTGGTTGTTTCACGCCAGTATTCTGTGAGGCTGTGGTATCACTCCGGTCGAGCCGACCCATTCGTTCCGAAGCTTGGCTCTCCCACACTTCTTTGTATTCATTTAGAGTGTTTGGTTTACGGACTATTTAGACACCATCTTTTTATTTGATGGGGCATCGTAAGAATCAAATGACTTCTCTTGACTGGGTGTGAGAGTGTCTGAAGAGATAGTGTCAGAATCTTACTGAGTAAAAACTATCCCGTTTTTACTTCTGCTCCGGCCCGAGCCCTTCGTACCTTATTGAGCTTCTCCTTTCCCAGTTGGGGCGAATGAAGACATTAGATGACTTTATACGTTTCCAAAAAAAAAAAAAATATAGCCCAATCTTTCTTCCCATCCTCAATCTATAAATCCCTATCCTAAAATCTCTAATAACCCACCAAAGCTTGGCGAGGTACTTGTAGTAACTCCTTTGCTCTTAGGATTGTCCATGGGCGGCGCTGATGCTTACCATCAGGTAATATTCTGTCTATTCGTTTGCTGACGTATTACGCTAAAAATACTCAATACCTCAACTTAGTTGGTAAAAGGCCAAGCTAAAAAACATGTAGGTACATAGACAAAACCAGTTTCCAGCTCGCCAAGTAATTTATCACAGAAGTAAGTTATACTAGTATTAGTGGTATATTCTGAACATGTCGGAAGCGAGTTACTGGCTTATCTATACAACTCGTATGCAAGTGCCGGTCTAACACTTTGTTCCCAAGTTTTATTCTGTGTAAGATTTCCGCTTAGAGTTGGCACGTACACCCGCCGAGCTGTGCGCTTCAATTTATTTATTTTATACCCACGTTTGTTTCAAGGCGATGCAGTTTTTCGTTTTTGCTGTTTTAAACACTGTTTACGTATGTCAGAAAATATACGTATTGTATTGTGATTAGCTTTAGTTCTTTGTTAAATTGAATGTTTTCGGGTTAAATTTCTATGTAAAAATATTCTCTTTTAAAATGTCTATGATTTGAAGTATAAAGTCTGTCATGACATCGGCTATTTTGTCAGAACGTTAGTTAAGAAAGAAGAAGAAAGAAAAAACATTTATTGACACAACACAAGACATACATATAATAATAAAAAGTACAAAAAAAAAAAAAAGAAAACTGATAGTAGGTTGCGCCAAATAGCATCCAGTTCAGCATTATGCCAGACAGCTAGTGCCTGACGCTGGTTTTCAACTGGACCTATGAGTAGTTGCGGGTGTCAAACGATATGTGATAGGTGTTAACGTTAATTCATTATTTTAAGGCCTGATTTTTCAACAGTCAGATACCTAAATGTTATCTGAGGAATACAATTGTAGCTGCCATCATATTATACAAATATTGTGACGCGGCAGCATCATAATTATCCACAGATAACTTTTATCTAACCATTGAAAAATAGGCCCTAAGCCCTCAGAATCTAAATACTGATTTCTCAATATTTAACGTCTGATTATAAACAAGTATAGAAAGAAACTAATTTCTATATTTTTGCACTTATTAACCAACATTGCTGATTATTATAAATTTATTTTAAAATTAATCAAATTTGCTCTTGGATGACGCAAGAAATAGCATAAAATAGAAACATAGTCATAAAAAAAATAGCCAGAATGCGAATTTACGTTGTTTACACAATTTTTAATAAAACTGCAGATCACGTAGCTAGCGGCTTTACATATTCTATTGAATCGAATGAACTGTCAAAACAATTATTCTAATTCACTTGGAACGAACGAACGAAGTAAAAAAATAACGAAAACGTTTTTAAATTTCGTCGAAGAAAAAAATCGAATTAAAGTTGTCTATGCCAATCATCGTCAATTATTAAAAAGATGTTTGTTTTTAAGTTTGAGACAAGGTCTTTTTAGACTTTACGTTTAAGATAAGAAAGGTTATTTATTTTTATTTTTAACATATTATTTTATATTTGACTGCACGGTTGGTGCGATGGCTGGGCCACAGGCTGCCGCGCAACGTGTTACGGATTCGATTCCCGCATGAAACAACCATTTGTGTAAACCTCTAATTGTTTTTCCGGGTCTAGGTGCTATGTGTATGTAAAATTGAATGTTTGTAAACGTACCTACCTATGATACAGGAAAAAACTTTAGTTAGGGCAACGTTATTAAAAATGAAATAAAAGCAGTCCCACAGAACCGTTGCAATGATATGACAGTGGGGTCAACTATCTCTAAACAATACAATTCAATTAAATGAAATTATAATAAAGTAATCTTTATATACTGTAACATAAAATTATAATAATATAAAACTGAATATTTATAAAAGATAAAAACTTTAAGTCATGTTTAATGTTGAATATGTATCACTCCTTATGTCTGCCGACAGACTATTGAATAGATAGGGTATTATCTTTTTTAATCGCAATCGGCGTCGTCAATGGACATTCACACGTCAAGAGTTAACCCGTGCGTCGCTGGCCTTTTGGCATCAGCTACCGAATTTTTGCAATGACTGTCGCAACCGTTAGTGACATCAGCTCGGTCACCGCCTAATGCGACTTCTCGTTTGCGTATCATCAGCGTGAATAGCATAAAGCCTTCTGAATGATTTTGGTCATAGTGGCCAGTATATTTAACTACACTAGCCCTCAAGGTAGGAGATAGTATAATTCACAGGTGTGAGCAGAAACACACACGTTGTCTGTTTCACTCTATGAACCTGATAGAAGTCGGACGGCAGACAGATAAGACACCATTTCTGAGGCGCTGGGGTTAAACACCGCTGAACTTCTCTGAAGTTCGGGCTGATCACTTTAATAAGAATAACCCTATAAGTTTTTTTTGCCAGACGCAGGATTCGAACCTACGACTGGCAGCTAGTCATTCAGTTTTCATACCACTTGTGCCTTTGAAATGAACGTCTTTCATTTTCAACGGTTTTACTAATAACTTTACGGTTGAATATAGAGTGATATCTGTTTTTAATGTATGTTCTTATTTAATTGCAGTACTTTGAGAATGCTTCAGCGTTCATCCCTGAGCGCTGGTCTGAAGGTAGCCCGCAGCCGCCGCCTGGAGTCTACATGCCCTTCGGAGATGGGCCCCGGTATTGTATAGGTATGTTTAATAGTATCTACATGTTAGTCTGTTTGTTTACCGTAAAGAAAGTAAGGAATATAGGCCAAGTGTGGTATCGTGGTGGCCTGGAGTAGGTTAGGTCGGCCGCTCCTCATTCATGAGTGTGCGGGCTCGAAACCTGGCAAGTACCAAGTTGACTTTTTCCAAGTTATATGTACTTTCTATGATTATTTAGACACTACTAACATACGGTAAGCTAAACATCGTGATGAAACCTGGACTTATGATTTCTAATTATAAGTTGCAAATCTGCCTTGAGCAAGCGTGGTGATTAATGCTCAAACCTTCTCCGTGTAAGAAGAGGTATTTGCTCAGCAGTGGGCACTTATAGGCTGATGATGTGATGAATCAGATTCGCGTTCAAAGGTTTTCGTTCACCTTCATCATTTTGTACAGCCATGATTTGGCGCGAATAGGCCGCCTCAACAGAAGTGAGACCACGGCCTCTCAGAATTCCGGCGTAAACCAACTCTCATGTTGCGTATCGCCGTGTGAGTGAGATTATCGAAGGCCCAATCCTCACCGTCCAATCTTTAATTAATGCAGTCAAAAATTGTTTTATTTTTTGTGAAAATATTAATATCTTAATACTTATATTAAAAAGAGGTAAAGTTTGTAAGTTTGTAAGTTTGTATGTTTGTAAATTTGTATGTAGGGGGTAATCTTTAAAACCGCTGGTCGGCTTCCCAAAATTCTTTCACTGATAACTACAATGTTCCTGAGTGTTATAGGCTATAAAACATCACGCTACGATCAAATGGAACTGAGCAGCGAGCGAAACCGCGCGAGAGTAGCTAGTCTATTTATAAGTTTCAATAGTATTCTTAGAGTTTTAGATAAAGTCACTGAAAAATAAGAATTGACAGACTCATTTGACGAATTTAAAAGGGTTCCGTTTCTGGTAATATGGCTACAGAACCCTAAAAACGTTACCCAACCGTTCCGATATGCGCTGAATTCTCAGAAACACGACGTAGGTACTGTAAGCAAATAAATATATTGAGTTACATCGCATTCAGTGTCAGGTTGCACAGTTTTTGCTGACAGTACTTAGCCACTTGAAGTTGTAGTGGGAATTTGATACTAGTAAGTTGTCAAACGAGCAGACGGATTACCTGATGGTAAGCAATCAACGCCGCCCATGGGCACTGGTAGTACCAAGTTACTACAGGTGCGTTGCCGTGTGCTTGTGGGTTATAACAATTTAAGGATATTGGATTTGCGGATTGAGGATGGCTCTTAAATTGATTACTAATACCTATTTATTAAAAATTTTTTTCCTCACAGGAAAAAGGTTCGCCCTAATCCAAATGAAATGCTGTCTTCTAAGAGTGCTGCAGCATGTGCGAATCACTCCAGCTCCTCGTCCTGATGCTGCGGGAAAGCTGACAGTCCAGTCTCGAGTGGAACCCTTCACTGCCGACCCTCGTTCCCCCCTAACTCTTCATCCAGCTGACTCCTTAGTAACTCTAAGCCTGTTATGACGAACTTTGTCCTATTAAAGCACATCAAGATATACTTAAGATATTCAACTCTACTACCTTTTATATAACGTTGAATATTGCTTGAAGGATTATCGTTTTGGGATAGCTGTCGCTGCTTGTATATGTGTGTGTTCTTTTGTAGAAGAAAGAACATCAAGCTATCGCTAAAGATTTTGATTTCTATTGCTTCTTTTTAAAGTTGGAAATTGAATGCAAGAAGCCAGTTTGGGATAGCTTGATAAGCTAGAAGTACTGAATGATGTTTCTTAGTACTTTATTATGTTTTTTCGAAAGTATTAATTATTTCGTGAAAGTTTTGAATTACGAATTTAAATTTACTTATTATCTCGAAAATTATACTAGATGTGCCAGACACTTAAAGATTAGATAAGAAAATATTGTTTTTCTTTTATTTGACAATGATATTTCGTTGCTTTTTTTATTGTGAAACATACATTTATAAGGAATTTCATTTTCGTCTTGTAAATAGTGAAACATAGTCTAGCTAAGAGCCAAATAAGTATTCATACTATAGCATACTTAAATAAAAATAATTTGTCAAAACGTTTGTATGTTCATAACTCTCGAACGGATGAACTAAATTTGATTCTGTTTTACATTTAATATTAAGCGTGAAATGTCTTTTTAAGCGACTTCAAAAGAAAAGGAAGACCAGTTCAGTATGTTTGTATGTTTGTCCGCGATTATCTCACGAAAGGCTAAATCGATTAAGATGCGTTTTTTAGAAAAATACTTTTATTAATTTGTGAAAATTTTCATAAAAATGATTTAAGCCAGATTGTATACGGCTTCGTTGGATAAGAATTAGTTGATAAATAATAGTTTTAATAGTTATTTCTTGTCATTTCTGTAAATAAACTGCTTTCGTAGTAATGGAATGGTTTCAGTTTCATTTTCAAATTATTACCTCTCACGCCACGCATGAGAAGAGTGTGCTTCCTCCGGGCTACGGAATTACAATAGGAACCTACGTACCTATCAGTTAACTGGCAGACTACACAACTAAACAGCACAAATGTTCTTTATTTAAAATATTTTCCGAAAACGTACAGCTATAAGATATTATAATATGATACTTGAAGTCTATTTACAAAGTTACCGAAGTTCTAAAGGGCACCCACATATCCTCAATCCTTAAATTCGAAATCCATCATAACTTAAGAGGATGGCAACGCACTTTGATTTACTTCTTAGGTATTACGAATGTCCATAGGCACCGACTTTTGCTTAACATCAGCTTAGGTTAGTTCTGCTCGTTTGTCAAACAAAGCCTTATAAAAAGAAAGGAGGCCCAATCCTTCACGTCCGTCCACCCCCAATCCTTAAATATCCGGAACCCTAATTACCAAAAGGCCGACAATGTACTCTTAACTCCTTGATGTTGCGATTATTTGTTGGTTTCCTAAATCGTTTTGCTTGAGATAGTCATTTTTCTGAAAATACAGGCATTTTTGTTACCATAGGAAAATATACAGCTATACCAAATATACAGCTTGGTATCTCAAATTCCGAGGTGAACTTACTAAGATGACTGGACTATTAGTCAGGTAAACCGTATGCTCGTTACCGTGCCATTAAAAAAGAAGTTTTTGATCGAGAGAGATATAACCTCCATGCTAGGAAGACACCAGCCGCTTCTAAACGTTCGATACAATGCCCCGATCCGTTTAGATACGACTATAAATCCTAGTAAACACTAAGTTAACGCTAGACCTAACAATAAATCTAGAAAATCTCATTTTGAACTTTATTAGGTCTCTTTAAAGATTTGTTTTCTTTATACATAGATGTTGATGATAAATAAAGAATAACGTGGGTACGGTACGTATATTAAAGAGGCAGGTAGGTCATTTTGAGTAGTTCGTTTAACCTGGTTCATCAAATAAAAAACCAAAACCATCTCATTTCATCTCCTGCTCTGGGTCGAATCCGTAATTCGTTATTTTGCTAGCACCTGTAATCAAACGCGGGTCTGCGGAAGGCGAGTAAGAGTAGCTCGCCGCCCGACCAGAACCAGACCCGAGCGTACGGCGCGTAGCGTTCCGCGCGCGCCTCGAAGAGCCTATAGACCACTACAGACGGGGTCCTATAGTGATGATGTTCAGCCGGGGTTACTTCTCCCGCCCTGATTGGGGCGAGAGGGAGTGTCAGACCTCTTACTGACTAAAAACCAATCCATCCCTTTTCCTGCTCCGGGTTGGAGCACCGATACATTACGATTTTTTTTCAGGTTGTAAACATACAGTATGCTTTCAATGGAGTCGTGTTTGCAACCACTGAACTATCGAGACAGAGTTGGAAAAAATGCATATGACAGAATTACACAAGCAGTGTACGGTTTCAGAAATATAAGCTAAGTGCCTAATCAACAAACTATGCCATATAATAGTTAATCTTAACGCCCTAATTATAAGGTTTAAAATCCAAGAATATAACATAATAGTTGTATCATTTTTCATTAAGGAATATCGGTCCTTTATAAACTAAGAAGACACTGATTAATTTCATAATATTTTTTTTATTTGAATGGTGATGTATATATTTCAAGTGATTTTGGTCCTTAAAATTTAACGTCGAAGATTGATTTTAGCATTAAAAACAACCTTTTATCATATAAGTAATTAGGTATTCTATTTTTAAAAGTATTATTTTTGTTTCTTTTCTTGACTGCTTGAATATTTGGACAAGAAATACAAAGGACATTATGGTAAGTCTAATTTTGATTACATTTTTTTAATCTGTTTTTAGTGAGTCAATGGAACTTTATTAGTGGAATTTTGGTATTGTTTGTCAGATATTACGGTTGATTTTATTAAAGCTGCTACTTACTTTATTTTACGTGTTACTGACAAATTTTCTTGATAATTCATATCGAAATTACAATTAAAGTTCAGTACCACATTCTTATATTCTGTGCTGGAACATAATTATTCACAGTATTAGTATAAGCGATATTGAGACCTTCTCCTAGTTTTTCAAAATGACTCCAGAAACACTTTCGTATAAATGCGAAGTAAAAAAAAAAACATTTCACACATACACAGAACCAGACCAGGCATAAAGCCTGGTTAATGCACACGGGGTCTTCACACAGTCACACGACACATCGTGCGTTTATACATTGCTACACCAGACCGCGTTGTCGCCCGCGCAAACACAAACAAAGGAACATAACAAGCAATGTATAATGCACGCCACGTGTACGCAAACGAGGCCATCCCACGTTTAGTCTATGCCACCTCGATCACGATAAAATGGCGTAGTGTACTAGGAAACGTCAAAGAAAACGATTTACTTATTCAATGATTTAAAGAGTAATTTCTTTACGCTCGGACTTTTCGATCATACCAAAGGTAGGGTTTGGATCTTGGAGATAGGGTGTGGACATCAATCATTCGGCGATCTTCGTCCAGATTACAATCAGAAAATACTAAAAGTCTACACTAGTTTTTGATAGCGGTTTTTTACTGAGAATATGGGTTTTTGAATGATATACGATCAATTTATTATTTATTATGTTTTCGGCTTACTCACGTTATAATTTGACGAGATACTCGACTAGTTTCAAGCCATGCTAGAGGCGCATATTCAAATTAATACGTGAGTAAGCCGAAAACATAATAAATAATTTAGAATGTCCCACGAAAGTTATAATAAAAATACGATCAATTTATTTTCAAAACTTCAATTTGGAATCTTGCTCACCTTAATTTGAACGCAACCTGGCATGGCATAGCGCTTTTGACTTTTATCAGTTTAAGAGTGTAAACACAGTCATGTGTAAAAAAAATAATTTTCTATTTATTTTTGTTTTGTGTTTATCACCAGTTCTTTTATAATTAAACTAACTAATGTTATTTTTTTATCGTATTTTTTTCTGAATGGCCACAAGATATAGGTACTAAAAATTATTTCAAGGTTATCCATTCATTGGACACAAATTCTAAGAATAAAGCGAAGCGAACTTGGCGCTTTAAACAATAGAAAGAACCACATCTGTTAGCCATAACATGGAAGAGAGTTCCTGGGTCCTTTGAAACAATTGAGTTATTTGCACAAAAAAACTTCGACTAAAGGGCTTCGGCGAGGTGATCTTACGAAAGGTAATAAGTACCTACGAATAGTTTCTCCCGGTCTTCAGAGACGAGAAGTTGCCTTAAATTCTGTGCGATAGAGAATTGAGTGTTTGAAACGAATTTTCGTGTGTGAGTGCGAATGGGTGAGTGAATGAGACTTTCGTTAATAGATTTATTTAATTGTAAGGGGAAAATCCTGACAATCAAATTGGCGGGTATACAATAGTGAATTAAATTATACGAATTACCAAAACCTACCTAGAATGTACTATTCAGTACCTATGACTAAAAAAATCAAAAGAGTCACAGATTCGCTATGGTACACCCGCCATTTTAACCCTCACGGAAAATCATCTAATAACTTCCCTCGCCGAGGTATGAGGGAGTGTCAGACTCTTACTGACTATATCCCTGTTCCTTCTCCTGCCCTAGGTCGAGAATGTGGTATCTAATTGCGCTTACCCCGCAACCCTAGCTAGTGTTTCTACTTCGTTTACCTACGTTATTAGATTCTACATCTTAAATCCAAACAAATATTATAAATGCGAAAGTAACTCGGTGTGTCTGTTTGACTATCTGTCTTTTCTTTTCGCCTAAACTACTGAACATATTTGTATGAAATTTGGTACAGACATATGTAGGTTAGAACTCGAGAAAGGACATAACTACATAAGATAGTTTTAAACCGCAGGAATCTGCAGTAAGTCACTATTTTACGCGAAAAAAGTCGCGGGTAAAAGCTAGTTATCTATAATTTTTGCACTGTGTTACTGTTTGTATTTTAGTATTTTTATTTTACGTTTTGCTTTTATATGCACTTCCAGGGAGTGTGGTAAGGCTTCCCGAATTATGTTAACTCAATTGGTAACTTTGTTTGAAGGGAACGCTAGGTGTCAAAATTACATGTTGTTTTAATTCGACTAGCGTAGAAATAGAGGTCGGTTTTATACCATAATAATACTATGAAATTATGTGATGTGTGAGAGGGCCATGATTTGATTTCAATGGGCCAGCTCGACCGGAATAATACCACGGCCTTACAAAATACCGGCGTGAAACAACGCTTCCGTTGTGTTGTTGCCTAGTTTCCAAATCCTAAATCCCTTAACCACACATAAAAAGCCGGCAACGTTCAAATATATTTTAGTGTTGTGTAATGTGTAAGTTTCGTGAAAATAGAAAATTCTAGAATATACTATATTAATATGTACTAAATTTGTCAGCGTCTTTGTTTTAATAAGAAGACTTTGTTTGTTTTTTTTGACTTTATTTGTTATTCCAGACTATAATCTACTTATCTCTATGCCAATTTTTATCAATTTAATTGAAATTAAAATTGAAAATATTTATTTCAGACTATGCACTCTATGTGCATAGTCTGAAATAAATATTTGCACATATGCACTCTATGTGCATAGTCTGAAATAAATATTTGCACATATGCACATAGAGTGCATAGTCTGAAATAAACTACACGTCCATTTTTGTTAGTAGATACTTTTTACGTTTAGGGGCTGTTTTTCAATAGTCAGATAAATGTTATCTGAGGAATAAAATTGTTGCTGTCACTGTCTTATACAAACATTCTGACGCGACAGCATCGTAATTAATTTCCTGGTAACATTAATCTAACCATTGAAAAATCAGCCCTAAGAGTAATTAATATACTTACAAACTTATCGTTTATAATATAAAAGAAGGATTTAATTAAGTAGGTTTTAATATGCGAACAGTGTGACGAGTAATATCTAACTAGTAGATACTTAATAATGGAAACGTATATTCGTTTTTACACTATAGTAAGCAGAGTGTATTCTCAATCCAATCAAATCATTGATATGATTGGATATCGACCCGCTACCACGAAACGGACCTATGTGTAATGAGCTACAGAGCTATCGTGACATAAATTGCTTATGTAGAGAACAGATACAAATACTGATTACTTTTTATTACTTGTGCTTACTGCTGAGCAAAACCTCATCTTACACGGAGAAGGTTTGAGCATTAATTACCAGGCTTGCTCGAGGCCGATTAGCGATTTAAAACATACTAACTTATAATATGTAGATTTGTTCCGAGTTATATGTAGGTATACTTATACGTTTTAGTTAATTTAGACACAGATTAGTGAACAAACTTGGATTTAAAAGTTTCAAATTATTAGTTTAAAATTGCCGCCCTGAGCAGGCGGGATGATTATTGCGCATATCTTCTTTGTGCGAGAAGAGGCTTTTGCAGTGGCTCAGCAGAGAGATAAAGGCTGTTGATGTATGAGGATGTGATACATTAAAAGGTAAAAAAGTTGTAAGGTCCATTCTTTTCTGAAACTGTTAAGTATGTATACCTATTTACTAAATTATAGCTGTAAGTTTGTGAAGTTATAACACATTTCAAACTGCTTCATTGACAATTACATTGTAATTACGTTGAAGGTTACACAAAGATTTAAAAATAAATCCACATTGCGAACGATCATTTTGCAGCGCTGCAATTTTATTTTATAGTTCGAATTTCATTCTAGCATTTAATGTACGAGTATGGCGCTCACACGAAAGTTTGAATTTGGAACAAGGATTATTACCGGCTGCCAGTGTTCCGATTCTGCTGCAATTAAAAAAAAGTGAAGCTGTCTGGGTCGTTCCCTCGTCATCCCTAAAGGAGGACGTTTTAAAAAACAAAGACGAAGTAGGTTTTTATAGTGCACGTTCTTTGAATGTTCCCTTTCACGTCACTTGCCGTACATTTCCTATCGTAATTGCGATCTGACACCGTGAATGGCGTGTGGACAGATAAAAGAACTTTGTGTTTCGCTCGCTCATCTTTCTTTAGACAATATGGAGGATTAGCCCATAGATTTTCCGAGTATGAGCGATGAAGTTTTTCTTTTAATTTATTATGATTATTGTGTAATATAAAAACCCTATACATGTTAACTATTTATCTGAAAGAAAAGAAAGAAAAGAACATAGTCAAGTTTAAGTAAGGGAGAGCCATGCTTCGGAACGAATGGGTCGGCTTGACCGAAGTGATACTACGGCTTCACAGAAAACCGGCGTGAAACAACCACAGTGTTGTTTTTTGCCGAGTGAGTGAGGTTACCGGAGGGCCAATCCTTCCCTTAAACCCAATCCCCAAATCTACTTAAACTCCTCCATTGTTGCGGGTGTCCATGGATCGCGCTGATTGCTTACCATCAGGTAATATGTATGTTCGTTTGCCGTACTATAACATACAGAATATTTACTCACAAAAAAAATCTAATCATAATTTGGCCCATAATTATACGTAGTTCTTTACCTACATCAACTCTACCAATCTCATGGTCAAAAAGACAGCCTGATGCCATAGCTTCCACGAATACATCACTTATCACCAATCCGACAGCTATCCTGTATCAAATATCCCTGAGAACCTACCACGGAGGTCTGTTACTGTTTACATTATGTAATTACTGGAAAATGACGCATATGTGTGTGACATATACGTACCTACACAGACATACCCACGATGTATTAGTAAGCTTTTGTATAAGCATCAGGAATTAGTTCGGTTAAGTAATAAACAGTCGTAGCGTACTATGAGTAGTCCTATAAAAAAAAAAACAAAAAAAGTTCCTATTGTTCTTGTTCTTACTGTCACGTATAAAGTCCATGGAAAGCTCGTGTATTCTTAAATAATTTCATGTTTAGAAAACTAACTTTATGAGGCTATTTCACAAAGAGGATATAACCACATACGATAACTACATACATATGGTTTTATCGTCATTGCTTAATCACATTCACACGAAAATTAAAAACACCAAAACCAAACAAAAAAAAAAAACAATAATCTCAACCATGTTTTGCAATTGTTACATGAAGGTTTTATGTTCGATTTTACGGCATTTCAAATAAGTTACTGGCAATGTATAAATAATATAAAAGTGTCAACTAAAAAAGATAAAAGTATTCACTAAAGAGTTCTACACTGTGTTAACAATGAATGTTTTTAAAATTAGAACGACCCATTGTCACCAGAGACAACTTTCTGTTCTGTCGACAAAAAAAAAAAAAATATTTTTGTTTTCGGAACACGAATTTAAATAAATGAAATCGTTTGGTTTTCTGTCAATTATAATCAAATTTCTAAGAAAGTGAGAGCGGTGACAATATTTTAGGATTTAAAATTGGTTATAAAAAAATTATGAAACATTACGTGATCACATCAAGAAATATCTGAGAAGTACTATCTATTCGAAACATATTTCTACAAGAAACGTACGTTTTGGTGAGGTAAGAGCTAACTCATAAATGTATAAAATAATAGAAACCGGTTTTCATTTATAAATCCATATAGATAATTATATTATTATGCATATAAACGTATTGTTTTAGAAAAATTGACATTTTCTGCAGCCATTTTGTTACTAAATGCGGCCAGGTTTTAAGTGTAGGAGAGCTAAGTTTCGGCACGAATGGGTCGGCTCGACCGAAGTGATACTACGGCCTCACAGAAAACCGGCGTGAAACAACCACTTGTTTCGCCGTGTGAGTGAGGTTACCGGAGGCCCAATCTCTCTCCGTCCCTCCATTCCTTTACAATCCTCCTAAATAAAAACGCACGCGTAACTTCTTTGGGGTTGCGGTAGTCCATGGGCGCCGCTGATTGCTTACCATCAGGTAGTTCGTCAGCTCGTTTGCCGACGTATACCATAAAAAATAATAATTGGAGCATTCATGTGCACCTTGAAAATATTTTGGCGGGCGTGTACTTAAAAATGACGTAATTTCATTACCTATAAAAAACTTTCTATTTGTCCGCGCGGTTTGTGGTTTTCTTGTTAAAAAAAAGACTTCAGTATAAAATTTTTGTTACTTGGTTAATTTAAAATTGGTTTTTTATACAGCTTACTCATGTAAGCCACTGTGTGACGGAATCCTCTACTACATAGTTCAAGTATCACAGTTTTAAAGTGGTTTTACTTACGAACCAAATGGATATTGTGCAAACTGTCCAAAATAAGATTCTTAATATAAACTAGACACCAACACCGCCTTAAAGTTTAATACGTCATAGTATGTCACTTAGAAAGTAGTTCGAATATAAATATGATTACTATTCTATATTGAAGACTCAGTTGCCAACAACAGACAAAAAAAAATACTATTCTATATTTTCTTACCGTTTAAGTGTTCTATGGATTTCCAATACTTAATGCTTTGCTTTTTAATAAACGTGGTTTTTAACCACACTAGGTTTTTTTACACATACTTTACTTTAAACATACAATTTCACATACACATTACACCCAGACCCGGATCAACAATTTGTGAAACACACAGAGTTGTTATACAATACTCAATATTCTTTATATGTATTTCTCTTTCTTTATATGTATTATTATATAAATACATATAAAGGTGGTACCAATTTGTGTAAGAGCAATTTTGGACCCTATAGGGCACAGCAAAATATGGTAACTGGAGAGAAATAAAATAAAATATTTTGCTTCGTAAATATTTGAAGATCAAAATTAACTAAGTTAGGTCAGCCGTTTTAGAGTTTTAGCGAGACTAACGAACAGGTATTATTTTTATATAATTATATAATTCATCTAATATAGAAAATACCAAGATACTCAGTAATCGAAGTTTGTTTTTTTAACGAACGTTTTCGGGTTATTTTTACGATTAGAATATGGTTGAAAAGTCGAAAAGTATTTTTCTATAGGTTTTTGTATAAGTATGTAGTTTCAGTTCTTTTTCCATCGTCATTTTAAAATCTGTCGAACCTTGCGTTGTTAGATTAGTCCTTATGTCTCAAATTTTTTTCAATACATTTTCGACTTTATGGCGAAGTGGTGACGTTAGAAATGTACTTAATTAATTTGATAAATAGGGAAAGTTTGATGAACCATTAAACTGTATTACGACGGTTATGATAATATTACGTGGTATTACGCTTGATCAGGATTGTTACCTTAAGCTCTGCATTTCGCAAAAGAAGACTGCTTCCCAATTCCTCTCATTCCGCACCATGGTCTAAACAGAGGCCGGGCGCGAGTGTTCCCTTCCTTAAGATGACGGTGCCCAGCCTAAGCAGGGCACACCGTTGCCTTAGGGTGCAGTTCCATTGAGGCGGAGCGGTGCTGCTCATCTCCGCTCTGCTCCATTTCGCCTCAATGGAACGCCCTTATTCTGCACCGGGCGTTTCTTACCGTGTTTCCTACCAATAATTTGAAATCTGCGCACTTTCATTTTTTTTAGAGGGAATATCTTTTTGGTCTATGGCATGGCGAGAGGTAGTGTCAGATTTTTATATTTTTAAAAAAGGAATGGAGGGCAGTGTAAAACCCTCCCCTCCTTTCCTTTTTATTATCCTTTTTATCCTGCTGCAGGCCGAGGTCATGTTACCTTTTTGCGCTTGCCCCGTAACCTCGGCTGAATATCGGACCTGAAACCCTGAAGGAAATCCTGTAATAATTTCGTAGAAAATAGGCACACATTTTCATTGGCGTCAGAACAAGTACTAATACGAGTATGACCTAGTCCATTATCTTATGTCGGCTCGGTTATATCTGATAGGGTCTGGACCCGAGCCCGCAGCACATGTCAGGCTGATTATTCCCTGCCCCAGACAACTATGACACAGGAATCTAACGTTTAATTTAGAACGGGATTTTAGTTACTGGTATAATCTAAGTGATTTTCAGTTTGTTAACAGCTGATACTAAAACTGGCGTGGTAGAACAACCCGAGACACTACATGCGCTGCCCCTATCCCTAATACCCAGTTCTTTGGTGTTGCTGATTGCTCACCACCTTTCATATTATATAAAGTAGGTATACATGTTAGTTTTTCAGGTATATATGTATAATTATATATATATGTGTTGTCGCTTGAACACAAAAAAAAATGATATTTCATAAAACAATAAATAAAAAATGGTAAATAAAAAAATATTATGTACAAGAAACAGTTATATAGAAAATAAACATAAGGTTACCGCTAGACGCCAAAACACATGATGATCCACAGAATATAGTTGAAACTACTAAAAGAACTGTAGATTTTGACAACGTTAGGTCGTTGGTAATGCACATTATTTATATTTACACACACACACACACACACACACATACACATACACATACACACACACACACACACACACACACACACACACACACACACACACACACACACACACACACACACACACACACACACACACACACACACACACACACACACACACACACACACACACACACACTAACACTAAACACAAACACACACGCTACACTCGCACACACACTCACACTACACTCAAAAACTAACACACACACACTACTCTCTTTCTCACTCTCACATTCACTCTCACACTCACTCTCCCACTCCCACTCCCACTCCCACTCCCACTCCCACTCCCACTCCCACTCCCACTCCCACTCCCACTCCCACTCCCACTCCCACTCCCACTCCCACTCCCACTCCCACTCCACTCCCACTCCCACTCCCACTCCCACTCCCACTCCCACTCCCACTCCCACTCCCACTCCCACTCCCACTCCCACTCCCACTCCCACTCCCACTCCCACTCCCACTCCCACTCCCACTCCCACTCCCACTCCCACTCCCACTCCCACTCCCACTCCCACTCCCACTCCCACTCCCACTCCCACTCCCACTCCCACTCCCACTCCCACTCCCACTCCCACTCCCACTCCCACTCCCACTCCCACTCCCACTCCCACTCCCACTCCCACTCCCACTCCCACTCCCACTCCCACTCCCACTCCCACTCCCACTCCCACTCCCACTCCCACTCCCACTCCCACTCCCACTCCCACTCCCACTCCCACTCCCACTCCCACTCCCACTCCCACTCCCACTCCCACTCCCACTCCCACTCCCACTCCCACTCCCACTCCCACTCCCACTCCCACTCCCACTCCCACTCCCACTCCCACTCTCACTCTCACACACACTCTCACACACACTCTCACACACACTCACTCTCACTCTCACTCTCACACACACTCACTCTCACTCTCACTCTCACACACACACACTCACTCTCACACTCACACTAATTCTCTCCCACACTTACAATCACTCAATTAATGATTAAAATCATTAATTTAACTTCAAAATTTAAGTCAAAGTAAACTTTGACTTTGATACAAAAGGCAAAGAGACTGTTTTTTTATCTTTTAAACTTACAATGGTAGTCGCAGTTCCACATCTGTTACAATAGACATTTGAGACCCATAAACAATTGTTATTCACACAAAAAAGTAATAAACTGAGGCCGGTCTTAGTTTTTTGAAGATACAACATTTGGCATGGTGAAGTAAATAAATGGATGTTTGCGTACCTATAACATTAAAACTTTTATACAACACTTTTTACCTAACCTAATGTGCCTATGTATTGTAAAAATGTTAATGTTAATAACGATTTACTAGTCTCAAGTGGAAACGGGACTGTTATTCATGATTCATTCAAGAGCAGCGTGCGCGTCGCGGCAACGTCGCGTAGCCAACAGTTGGCTAGCAAGGTTGTGACTTGAAAGTAATAGAGCTTTTGATGATGATAATAATGACAATGGGCGGCGCTGATTGCATACCATTAGGTAAGGCGTGCTCGTTTCGTCGTTCACATCATCAGCTTATAATAGCCCACAGCTGAGCAAAGGCCTCTTCTCACACGGAGAAGGTTTAAGCATTAATCACCACGCTTGCTCAAAGATGACCCGCGATCTAGGTTTCTTCATGATGTTTTTTGACTTGTTAAAGTGCCCTTTTATGACTTCACCGTATGTCAGTGATGTCTAAAATCATAGAAAGTACATATCGGAAAAGTAACATTAGTAATTGCCAGGTTTTGAAAACTCATGTATGATAAGTGGATGCCTTAACAACGGTAAACCATGACCTATAAAAAAATGTCTCAAGACACAAAATATTGTAAATGATGTTAAAAAAACTTACTGCGAAATACGCAAAATGGAATGCACCAAACCTCTCTCTTTCTCCTTAGTTAGCGGCTCAAAACTAAACTGAGCGAGTAGGCTTTTGCCACTGGTCCAGGGTTGTGGTTGACATAACCATTGACCATTAGCTTGACATGTCACGTACGAAACGTAGGAACAAATACGTCGCGTTGCATGTTGCGTGCCGAAGTTTTGCTGAGCACTCCTAACGAACATCGAACAATGTTCGCAACAATCCAATTAGCGTGTATTTGGACGGTGAGCGCATTGTCGACAACTTTAATACATATTTCGGGAACTTCATTGTTGACCGCTTGAACAAGAGTTTAGAGACTTGGTAGAGTTAATATGTTTTCATATATACATAATAAGTATACGCATATCTCCAAACAGGAATAGTGAGACGCAAAATGACGTGATATTGGTACCTATACATCTTACTCACCAATTGAAGGGGCTTCAATCAATTGCTTCTGTCGATCAATTACATATATGAAATTCTTTCTGATATTTTTTCTAAGAGTCGTTTCAAAGTAGTGTATTCTATTCTTTAAGTTCAGCTAAATTTAGCTGAAGCTTGAAATCAGCCATCCCTTTTGAGCAAGCCTGGTGATTTATAATTAACCTTCTCCGTGTGAAAAGAGGCCTTTGCTCTACAGTAAGCCCTTATAATTGATGTGATTTGATTTATCTATTCATTTAAACATTCAAACAAATATGTTTTGTCCACAGATAACGGCAGAATGACCTCTCACTTAGATGACACGGATGATGAGAATTGTGACGATCCTATCAAATTGTTTCCCAATGGTTTTGATAGCTCCATCGTTTTTGGCAGTCAGCCGCAAATAACTGGTAAGATTTTAAAACCAGCATCAAATAAGTCTTTTGTTTCTCGAAGGACAGGTAGAGGTGCATATATTTTATGTGCATTCGAATATTGTACGTATATACATATGTAAATTATTCCCGCGCTATTTATAGTAGTAAGACTTAGTCTATTTTGATCCTAGCCAAAAAATATTTTTAAATTCAACACAGAAGTTTCGGAGATAAAAGCGTTCAAACAAAACATACTCTTTAGCATTGTCAAAAGCAAAGAGTTTTCTATTTTATTTTTTTATTTATTTAATCCTTATGCAACATCAAGTTACAGAGGCGGTCATGCCATATGCATTCTTGTTAGTAAACCTTAGGTTGATGCAAAAATTTATTTTTGTTATATTTTATGAATTTTCACGGTGAGTCGTGTTTGGGCACAAATAACTTCAACATAAAATTCTTCTAGGCTTCAAATAACCATTTCGTTGTGTTAAGCCATTGGACATTATAAGACATATCATTCGAGATCCTCGATTCTCCTAGCCATCAATTTTCTCTAAATTTCTAATCTCCAAAGGGCTGTGGCAGCGAATAGTAGCGACAGTGGAGCTGTAGTTTCTCTAGTGTTACGTTTGTCTATAAACGACGCCGATTGCTTGCCATCGGGCTGATACATCATTGCTGCCTTATCCCTTAAACATATACAATATTAATTCATATTAATTTGTTTTTCAGGTTCCGCAGCCGTTCACTGGAAATTTCCAAGTGAATTTACACACGATATTGTACATAATAGTGCATTATCTCAGATACACAGCGAAACCAATAGTGAGTGTACTATTTCCCCCATATTTGTTAAATTAGTAGACTGTGTTAAGTTTCCGTGGTACTTTGGAAAATACATTGCACAAATTTTACAAAAAACTGATCCAAACCAGTTTGAAACTGAAAATGAGTTTATTGATGTAGAAGAATGTGATTCAAATTCAAGTGATTGTTTCATCGTTGAAGATCTTCATCCAGAAACTACAGGATTATGGGACCCGAAAGAAATGCCAAAACGTTTTAAAATCGTCAAACAGTTGGAAAAGGCGTCAAGTCAAAGAAAATTAAGCCAGGTTGATTTAAAGCGTAATATAGGGTTAGTTGGAATGAAAATTTGTCAGAAAAAGTCTGTAACAATAAAACAAGGCGCATGCATTGGTAAAACCGCAAGTCAGGTGATTGCGAAGAGTGACAAAGAAGAAATGCGTTCTCATTGTAAATTAGATGATAACAAGAAACCGAGTGATTCGTTGGTTTTGCCTTTACATTCAAACTTTAAATTGCCTAAAAATATCACTAACAATATAAATCCGAAACAGAATTGTGACCAAAAAAATAGAGACTTAGATAAACGTCTGACTATAGTTCCTGTGCATAAACTAAGTAAAAAAGCGCCTACATCTTTTGTTCTTAAGAAGTCTTCAAATAAGTCTACCTCACACGTGAAAGATATACAAAAATGTAACAAGTTTAAAAATGATCAAATAAAGAAGAACAAAACTAATAATAGTACTGTGATAGAAATGTTCGAGCCAAACAAGACTATCCCGAAAACTAGTCAAGTTCCTGAAATACGGCAGAATCGTGCTGAAAACAGTGAGAACAACATTGATAGTCAACGTGATAACAAGGAAGAACTGAAATCTCCCATACTTACATGCACTTCCTTAAAGAAACCTAAGCTTCTACCTAAGTCTGACATACCTTCTGCTGTCATAGGCAACAATCCAAAAGAAAAATTAGATAAAATAGTTAACAAGCTTAAAATATTAAGTAAAATTCCTCTTAATGTTAGTTCTACAATTTCAACCCCCTGTGACATTCCTACGAAAACTACTCTAACCAATGAGATCCAAGAAAAAGCCGGTCCTCCAATTGGTGTCATCAGCAAAACACTTTTACATAAGTTGGACAAATCTATAAAACATTATAATAACCACAATAAGAATAGATCTAAACCTGGTAAATTTGATAAGCCTCATTCCGCACAATCTAATTCTAATGATATAAAAGTCTCGATTACTTCAAATGTCGTTCTTAACGCAAATCCTATTTCATTAGCAAATATTGTCACTCCTCTTTGTCCAAAAACAAATTCTCATGTAAAATGTTTTGATAGTTCTCAATCCCTTTCAAATCAAAGCAAGGATGACTTGACTACTTCTAATGTGGTTTTAAACACTTCTTCTAGTTTAGAAGCTCCAAAACAAGTCTCTAATACAGTTGTTAAACCTAACGTGACTTCCACAACTGTAGTCCAACCTTCAAATGCACCCAATTCTTTTGTAACGGCAAATCACGATCTTAGCACAAATGACTGTCTGAAACCTCAGTTTATAGTCCACTCTTTGCCAAAAAAATTGTTTCACAGAAATAATTCTATTAGTTACACAGCAACTAATGTATTAAAAAATAAGAGTGATCTGCTAGCCGGAAGTAAACCTGAGCATCTTATTCAATCCACAGATCCACAAATGCCTAAAATGTTTCACAACTCTCAAGTGCAATGTCAGGATCATCGCGGTCCTAATTTGAACAGCGCTACTAATATGGGCAACCAACTCAATAATATTCCAAATGTAGTCAACCAAAGCCAACCAACCAGTACAAACCAAGACTGTCTTCCCAATAATAACATATATCAACAGGCTAATCCAGTTCCAAACTTTTATGCAAACCGTGTGTTGCTACCATTGCCTCCCCCTCCACCGCCAATGTATGTTCCACCCCCTTTTATCTATCAAACCAAACAGACTAGTTCTAATTCAAATTGTAGTACATCAATGGTACTAACGAATCAACTGCCAACTACTACCTCTCAAGATCATATGCGTTCTCTGCAGATTGGTAATCAACATAATAGTTCTATAATAGGCGTTAATTATGATGGTTTAGTGAAAAAAATTAACATAGGCGGAGCACCCAAATCAGCTAATGATACGCAGGAATGTACAATTAATAAAAATGTAGTTTCTAAAATATCTTCCACTGTGCAAAGGGAGATAGATGCAACTAAGTTACAGAAATTAAACAAACCGTCATTGCCAGGTGAAGGAATGAGCAGCAAAATAAGTGACAGAGCAATTAATGGTACAAATATAGAAAAATCACTGGAAGTTGCAATAATGACAAAAAATCGGGGAGCTTTTGAAACTCTGAAACTATCTGTGGATAACATTAATACTTATATGCAAAAAAAGCAGTCAAAAGGATATTCGCCTCCGATTTTGCCTATACCGACATATAATAAAGTTTTGAATCAGGTGAGTGCAAAGGTGTCTACAGACTTAGCAGCAAAAACAAACTATATTCCAAAAATACCGATGAAAAAGACTGATTGTGGTAAAAGCAACAAAAGAAAAAGTGGTGCATTAAATACAGCCGACAATAGAAGAAAAATTGGGGCTAAGAAGATTTCTTTAGAAGAATATAACAAAAGGGCATTCAAAGACAATAAATCTGTGCCCTGTAAAAGAGCAGTTAGCGATGATCAAAACAAACATGGTAGAAAGCGACCAAATATAAATAAGAAGAATAATAATAATAGGGATCATACTACAGAGACTGATTTAGGATATGATTCAGATAGTACGGTTGTATTATGATGTATAATGTGTCTTTTCAATTTGAATTCTTAAGGTCTATAGTTCTATACATAAAAATGGTTACATTAGTATTAAAACGTCAATGCTATATTAATGTATAAATAGATGTACATACATATGTAGACTGGGACTGAACTGTCTAGGTAATGGTCTTCAAGAAAGGTATAAACCCGTCGTCATTTTAGATAAACATTTTGACACTATTGAATTCATAACAACGTATCGATTTCAATTTCAAAAACACGATGAGAAACCTCAGAATACAGAACGAAAAACTTAAGCATGTTATAATAACCAAGGGATTTAGGGATTGGGGAGTGGTTGATAACCTCATTCATTCCTCATTCTCCTCATACCTTAATGTGTTATAAATAATTGTTCTGCAAAATTGTGCTCTTTCTCTACCTAGAAAACGATTACTTGAATTGTTGTTCAGAGGCTGCCCAGCTATATGTACAGTCTTTTAAAAATGTGATGAAAATTAGCTGTTAGATGAAGTCCTGTATGAAGTCGAATGTTACGTTTTTCTACACTACATAATTTTGTTACTTAATAAATGAAGTTATTTCATAAGTGTTCATTTGCTCGTTAATATTAGTATGAGGTTTTATTAATTTTTAACCGATTTATTGGTAAGAGAGAAATAAGATTGTTTTTGTTAAAATTAATGTTGATAAGTTGTAAGAATTAAAGTTTTTTAAAAAAATGTGTTTGTTAATTTGATAAATATTAAAAAAGACTAATTGGTTAGTTTAAATAGCACCGTTATGTTTTACCTGACATAGCTAGTCTCCATGGCCTGTGAATAATAATTCATTAAACTAATCACATCATAATTTAAGCTTAGCTTCGGCACGAATGGGTAGGCTCGACTGGAGTGATACCACGGCCTCACAGAAAACCGGTGTGAAACAACCAGTGTTATTTCGCCGTGTTTCACTCGTAACTCCTTTGGTGTTGCGGGTGTCCATGGGTGACGTCGATTGCTTACCATCAGGTAATCAGTAAGTATGCTTGTTTGCCGACTTATTCTATAAAAAATTCTATAACTGCTTTATTGTAGTGAAGCACAAAATACGTTAAAACGTTTCCAACATAATTAATCTTTTACAGGTGTCTTCTTTTAAACTTGTCCCTTTGAAAGCATGAAAAAGAGAGACACAAATCTCTCAAAAGTGTCAAAGAAAAGTTTAAAAGAAAGTCTTGTTGTCAAAAAAATGCGTAGCCTTTATTTAGAGAAAACATCTGCATTGTGGCTGCGGCGACAATTAATCTATCTAACACGGCTCACGGCCGACTTGTTGTAATAAATCTTTGGATTACTGCCTCCTTCGCGGAATTAGGTCCTTGCTAGAAGGATCTGACTTGAATTATAGACGGAAGTTCGGCTTTTTTAGCCCGTTATCTGATCTAATTAGCATTGGTAAATGTTACTTGATTTGTAGTCGTCAGCTGTTTTATGTTTCTACGGATGTAGGTTTGTTGGTTAATTTGTAATTTAGGTGCTTCTGAATTCGGTATTTTCTTTGAAGCATTTATTTTCTATATATTTAGATATTCAGGAAACGACGTTTTGTTACATTAAGGTCATTTTTTAATGGTCTAAGTTACCTGGGGAATAATTATGATGCTGTCGCGTCAGAATGTTTCTATAAGACAGTGACAGCTATAATTTTATTATTCAGATAACACTTATCTGACTATTGAAAAATCATCCCTTATATACATAAAATACGATTAATTTATTTTCTCTTGCAAGATTTCTATAAAATATTTCTATTTACTAACCACATGTGGATGTTAGTGCTTCAGAAATAAATACTTTCACATTGAACCGTATCATAAGTCTTGTTACACAAGGCCCAAACAAGAAAGCACAATGATTTATGTACGAGTGTGTAAACGCTTCGAAAATTGCGATAGCTATCGCTTTCCTTACATAAGGTTCGTTGTAAATTACCGGCGCACTGCGGTACCAAACTTGAGTCAAAATTCCTCATATTTAAAAACTATCACCCACCCTCAGCTTCGCTCGTGTGTTATTTACCGTTGTTCCAGAGTAATATGTGATTTTGTCTGGGCCTGATAATAATTAACACGTAAGAAAAAATCATTCCTCCAAATTCGTCTTTTTTTAAGATAAATTTAACTAGTGCTAGACTGTTATCCCACTTGATGGCACGAGTAAACAGTAGTAGTATCTTATCCCCTTATTACAAAACAATATGTATCTTAAGTTAAGGTTTAAACCATTGAGTCAGGTTTTATATTTTAAATCTTATATCCCCTTCCTTTAATTTGAAGTACAAAAACTGGCTTTATGGTTTAGACCTGGACTAAATAAATACCTTGTTTTGTAATAAGACTGTTAATGTTTTATGCCTAAGATCGCATCCCTACTACGTACGATCCGAAGCCCTAATTGATTCGTCACAGTTGCAGAATTATTTCTATTGTAGTTTACAATGTCATCAGATTTCTTTCAAAGAATAATAATTAAGTATCCAATTTTTATTAAAGTTTTCCGAACCTGGTATTTTTATGTATTCAGATCGGATGTAGTGCGCAAGCTCTTAGGCTGTATAAGTACGTGGCTGAAGTCTGGACTTGTATCACATGTTGGGGCTAAGTCTGCGTTTTCCGCAGGGGATCCAAGTGTAAGTTTGGATGAGTTACGAGCTCACGCTTTGACATACATATGGCTGCCGTAGTCCTTGGATATTCATGCCTTTATTAAAGGAAGTTGTGAGAGTAGTGCTGTGGATATTTTAGAAGTTACGGTGCTTTTTTAATGCTAGTCTTGTTGTATTGTAAACGAGTGTTTCTTTCATTTCATTTTCCAAATATTTCTCACATTTTTTGGTTGGTATTTTTATTAACTGTTTTGATATTAAACAGAAAATATTGATTGAGATATATATATATAGATGGATCACCTGATGGTAATTGTTCTGCGACCCCATGGACACCTGCTACACCTGAGGAGTTACATAAAAATTGTCATGATAAAATTCCAGTAGTCTGTCTGCCTCCTTTGCCTGCCCTCTTTGTAGTCCCGTATCTTTCATCTTGCAAAATCGTTGCATATTTGTAGCTATACAAAAAATATGCACCCTTAAAACTGATTCTTGTATTTCGACAAATTTATGCTCTGAGAACTAATGTCACATTTCCATAGCTAAATAATTTCACTTCCGCACCTGAGCGCTGTGTATATTTTAAAATTCATAGGGATTTAAATTCTTAGACACTTCAATTTGCATCAGATCCGGCGAGCAAGAGTCTCCGGGAATATGGAACGGCGGACTATTCCATATAAAAGGATCATAATAAAATTATATTTGTCGACGAAACAATTGTCTGAATAATAGCGTAGGTAATACTTGTTAAAGAGGTAGGATTTTGTGATTTCCTAATTATGTTTGAACTTGCGACTTGGTTTAAAAAACGCTATTACAAAAAAATCTGATGACCTGTAAAACAATTGAATAACATTTCGATCAAATGAAAATAAAATTCAAAAACACGGAGGACATAAAAATGCAATAGTTGTCTTATATATAGTGACTTATTAACTTTTATCGCATTAACAAAGAAGAGTCAAAAATGTAGCGTATTACTTACTTCAGACTTATTAAAGCAGTCTTTAATATAAATCGAAATTTGTCGCAAAATTATGAATACTGACCCCAGGGGTTTTCCGCTAGGTACATTTTGATTATCTCATTAAGTGAACGAAAATTGGAAGGATAAGAAAGTGACGTGTGTTCTGTAATAAAGCACTTATAATTTCTGAATCAATAATTCTTCCTGTTTAGAGAATTAAAATATGAATAGTTTTAATAACTTTTTTCATACGTAACAACTCGCAAACTAATAAACCTATTCATAACTATGAAGCCATTTATCAGACGTAACTATACCATTTATCGAACGATTAATCAATTTGTGTAATTGAGTTTTAAAGTCAAAAAGACCAATTTTAATTAATCATGCCCCTTCGAATGTGAAACGATTTAAACTTTTGAACATTTGGGTTTTAAAAATTCCCGGAATGGACGTGCCTTCGTTGAAGAAAAGTCACCCGCAAAAACATTATTTTAAAGCGCTATGCAAATTCATGTTTTATTTGGGTATGGGCGATCTTTGGTATGAAGAGAGCAGTGCTACTTACATTAGTAAGAAGGTGTATACTCTCTGGCAGATCGTTGCAAATGGCTACATCATAATTATACTTTTGGACGAGCTCTCGTCTTACGCCCGTTCTGATTTGACAGACAGGGAAAAGAATGACTTGGTTCAATTCACTTTCGCTCATCCCTTGATATACTGTAAGGTTTTGACTCTTTATATCTGGAAAGACCGCATCAAGGTGGTCATGGAACGCTTGTTGGAAGGTTCCAGGCCCATATTCCATTCTCTAGAGCTGGAGCGACTGTCTGTCAAGCAATTTAGCAGGCATTGTTTCTCACTTATCGGCGCTTCGTATGTGACCCTATGTTCAGCCACTATTGAAGGAATTAGGCTGCATTTTATTGAAGGTAAGATTAATTTGTGTTATTAAAATTATTAAAATCTACGGCAGTTATTTAAATTAAGTCTGTTTTTAAAATCAATTTTGAATTAGCGCTTTTATAATTGTCTACTATATTCCAGACATTCCAATTCGCACAGAAGTAGTTTACTTTCCCAATCGTTCAGAGACAGGTTTCTTCATCAACGTACTCCGGTTCTTCGTGGAGTTTCACTGGTATTGCATTGTCGCCATGATGGCAACCATGGACTGTCTTGCCCTTTGCTCTCTTTTGACTGTGGGCCATAAGTTCAGGGTACTAAGGTTGTATTTCCGAGAGCTCAGAACCAGGATTATGGAGCATAGAGGAAAGAAAACGCGAGAAGAGCTTAATGAAGAGTTTAAGAAGGGATTCGTAGTTGGGATCAAGTTGCACGTTGATGCTTTGTGGTATGTACCATCTTGCTTTGGTAGAATATGAGTCAAAAATAAATGTATAAAACTTAAGCAGACTGAAAAAAGTCATATATTTTCCCATCTAACAGCTAGACTCCTTGATGCAATATTGAGTAACCTTGTAATAACTATATTTGTCACGCTCTTAGAACTAATCTCAGTTTACAAAATGTATCGTGCACAAAGTTTGGTACAGCCTATTACAGTCCAGATAGTTCTGGTAATTGCATCTGCCAGTTTCCATTTACTTCTAGAAACAGGCTTTTCCAAAAGCAAACAAGCGCTTGGAGATATTGTAAAGAAAAAAAAGATTGCTTTAACAAACTCTAATTTGCAGGTGTGCGCGCAATGTCCAGCAGTCCATGGGACCTCTGTACAGTATCCAGGTGATGGAGAGTGTAGCCTTACTCGTCATGTGTCTCATTAAAATGGTGGTTTGTATCGTGTAGTCTTTCGTTAACTTATCTATGTTCGATTAAGATTAGACTAGCTAGAGATACAGGACATTGATCATTCATGTCCTTGAGAAGCACCGGACTAGATGTTTCAGTGTTTCCACGGTTGTATCTACTGTAGATCCTGGTCTTCAGGAGTTTCGATTGTAGTAGCGGTAGTAGGTTGTAGCGGGCTTGTCCAAAAAAAGTTAAATCATGTTTCTTTTTTGGCAAGTAATACTTTTGTTGGCTCCTAAAGAATGTGGGCTTTTTGGCCAAATCGATTACTTTCGGAGTTTCTAAAATGTGTTGGTGTTTTTTTATTTCCTTCGCAGTATCGCAGGGTATAACGATATCGTTGAAATATGTAACATCAAGTTATAAAAGTATGATGAAATTAGCACACGGAAATCTTTCCAGGTTGCAGAGCGCACATTCACCTACCTTGTCGCCAACTTTGCGTTCATTATGTGTATGATAATCCTCACTGGCTCCTACATGATGGCAGCTGGAGACATCACTCATGAGGTAACTAAGTAAATACGTAATCTATACTAATATTTTAAAGAGGTAAAATTTGTAAGTTTGTATGTAAGGGCAATCTTAGGAACCGCTGGTCGGATTGCCAAATTACTTTTATTGATTGGTAGCTACAATGTTCCTGAGTGCTACAGGCTATAAAACATCACGCTACGATCACATGGAGCTGCGAGCAATGTTCCTGAGTGCTACGATCAAATGGAATATAAATATAATGAAGCAAATTTTGGTGACTTTACTATCCTACTGCTTGGCCTAAAACGAAAAAGAAGATGGAATTAGTACCTATGATTTATTGACTATTATAATCAAAAGATATTAGCTTATACCTATTTTAAAATAAATAAGCAAAGGTTTTAAAGTGCAAGTTGCTTTCTTCCGAAAGCCACTGTAGGGAAGACCTATGTTAAGGAATGGAGGTTTTGTTGCCGATTTGGTGACGGCGATAAAGATGGAAAGGTGTCCTCCACGGTCTATCTGTCTAATTGCAATTTAAAGTGATATTAGTGGCTCATCGAAACATACTACATGGTTTAACTACTGGAAACGGTCCCAATACTAGCACTTCTTTTCAGAATTTGTAATTCTGTTCTTCTATTGGTAAGTTTTATAAGTAGTAATCCTCCCCCGATCCCTCCGAATGCCTAGATCTCCAAAACCCTAATCCCTAATAGGTCGGCAACGCACTCGTAACTTCTCCGTTGCGTGTGTATGAAAAAAATGTATTTTTTTATGTAATTGATCGGCAAACGAGCAGACGGTTTACCTGATGGTAAGCAATCAGCGCCGCCTATGGACACACGCAACGGAGGAGTTACGAGTGCGTTGCCAACCTTTTAGGGATTAGGGATTTGGAGATTTAGGGATTGAGGAGGGATTGGGGGCGGGGAAGGATTGGGCCTTCGGTAACTTCACTCACACGGCAAAACACGCTGTGGTTGTTTCAAGCCGGTCTTCTGTGAGGCCGTGGTATCACTCCGGTCGAGCCGACCTATTCGTGCTGAAGCATGGCTTTCCCACACTTGCATGGCTCTCCCACACTTAGTAGTATTTTATAAAGAACTAATTTTTCCACTTTTTCATCATCATTATCTCTATCAAACGGCTTCCGGAGTCTTCTGAAGAGTAATAATGCTTTGTTTGAATCTTGTCCAGGCGTCGGAAGTGGGCACAGCGATATTCCACAGCGGTTGGGAGCACTGTGACGGAAGAGCTGATCTCCGAAGCCTGGCTGTAGTGGCATTGCAGATGAGTCAAGTGCCAGTCTACATGACCGCTTTCGGAGTCATTACTCTGTCTTACTCCAACTTTATTTCGGTGAGTATATTCATTTTACCACGGTGATTGTGACTTTTAGTATAATTGGGTAGTTTCCTGTACATATATTCCAAAATATTCATTCACGGGTTTAATATATTTTTTTTTTATTTTACATTACATTTTTATTTATAATTTTTTTACACACATTTTTTTACGGTACATTTTTATTTATACTTTTTTTTTGTTAATTTTTATATTCCGATCCTTTTTTCTACCTAAGGCAAACACAAAAATGTGGTTGTGTCATGCCGATTTCCTGTAAGGCTGTGGTTTCATTCCGAAGCAACATCGTTCTCCCACATAATTTTTTTTACTAGTTTGTGAATTTAACTGGTTGTCAATTAACGTAGGAATGACCTAAAAATGATTGATGCAAGGCTTTGTACGTTGGTACATTAACAAAATTCTTTAAAATTTCAAATTCGGTTTATATTCTGTTTCAGGTAATGCGTTCTTCGTATTCTTTCTTTGCTGTTATGTATTAAACAAATATATTTAACGAATAAGGTGATGTGCACAAAGTTATTTCTTTGTAGCGTTGCCACGTGGTATTCAATAATTATGCTCTTTCCGAAAAACAAACCAGACCATTGGTCACGAGATGCAATCGACCGGTCGAGTCTTTTTCATCATCATCATCATAATTATCATCAGCTCATTTCAATTCACTGCAAGACACAGTCCTCTCGAATTGCAAGCCAGCTAGATGTTCACTTTTTCTCTTATGTAATAGTTCGTCAAACGACTAGACCGATTACCTGGACGAGTTACGAGTGCGTTGCCGACCTTTTAGGGATTAGGGTTTTGGAGATTTAGGGATTAGGAGGGATCTGGGGAGGGGAAGGATTGGGCCTCCGGTAACCTCACTCACACGGTGAAACCGCTGTGGTTGTTTCACGCTGGTTTTCTGTGCTGTGAAGCTTGGCGCTCCCACACTCATCCAATCTTTGCTTTTTTGCACTTATTAAATGCAATAACTTCAAATTCTGTTGTTTTATTTATTCCAACTGTTTATTTATTACAAAGAATCTATGAAGTTTTTATTAAAATATCAGTTTATATAAGTATTCGTCGAAGAAAATATTACTTTATATTGTAAAATAATCCTTTCTCCAAACACAATCAATTCCTATTTTACCAGCAAAAACTCTCAAGACAACTTGAATCAGTTCTCTTTATTTGAATTTCTTTGAATCAGTAATACTTATTCCAGCATTTTTCTCGGAGACTTCAATTTACAACAGTTTAGCATTTCTCTATCAAATTTACAAGATATTTGGCGACAGGATGTCCCACTTGGAACACATCCAGGCTACACTGCGACGGATCTTAGGGTCTGTATACACGATGTATGGTCCATGTGGGCCCAAAATCGTTAAATGAACAAAAATATTGTTTGGTGGAATGTGGATCTAGACGTTACAATTTGTTATTAGATACTATGCCTGCAATCAAGTGTTAACCCAATAATGATTTAAAAAACAGAATTTTTAATACTTGATCATTATTTGTTTTCTTACAAACTAAAAGTTAAAGAACAGTCTGAAAGAACAGCCAAAAAATTAAGACATTAAATCCCTTTGTAGGCAATGATATCTTCTTATATATAAAAATGGATCGTAAAATATGTTGGTAAGCGCATAACTCAACAACGCCTGAATCAATTTTGCTAATTCTTTTTTTGTTGTTTGTTATTGTCTGGAGAAGGTTCTTATCAAAGAAAATATTAGAAAAGTAGAGGGGAAGATTAGGAAAAAGTGTCCCTTTCCTTGCGAGATAGTTGGACCCGTGCGAAGCGGGGGCGGGCCGCTAGTTACATATATTAATATTGTATTAGTCACATTGTGGCTCCTCAATCCTGACATTACTGACTTAAAAAAGTATTTCATATCAGCATTATGAAAATATGAATCTTTGGTATTTATTTCAATGTAACTGCTCCTTAATATTCACAAAACGATACACTCGGGTTTCCTTGCTCTTGTACACTGAAGACGAATGTTTGTGTACCGATAGGTAATGTGGCACCCACCGCAGTCGCTGCGCAGAATGCATGAGAATTTGTGTTGCGTTTACCTTTTAACTTTTTTGTAGTTTCATTTAATTTTGTTCGCCGCAGTTCTTGGTGACGCTGTGAATGATTTATGAGTAGGATTTTACACTAGTAAAACTTGGATTTGTTTTGATATTTCTTACTCATACATATTATAAATGTGAAAGTTTGTGGAAATGTATGTATGTATGTCTGTTATTCTTTATTTTGTTTAATTTGGTATGTAGATAGATGATAGTCTGGGTGATAAATAATACTTTTTATCCACAACGCTGGAGAAGCCGCGAGCGTCAGCTACGATAAGAAATGAAACAATGATTTTATTTTTGCAAATAGGCCATAAAGCGGCAGTTTTACACGTTAAAATAGTTAAACGGTCTTTGTTATATGTTTATATAACAAGAGTATTTTTTTGTTTGGTAAACAAACGTAGAATTTGTATTGTTTTTATTTCAAACTCACATTAACTTAAAATATTTTTATGAAAAATAACTACAAGAAATGAAAACCATACCGCATGAAGCAATTTGAAACAATGTTAAAAGCTAGCTTCTAGTATAAAGTATTTTATATACACATAAAATTTCTAGGTACTGTACATAAGTATCTACTTTTTTTTTGAATAATTGTAGATACAATTTATTATTGACAACACATGTGGTGTATCTTTCAGCCGCGGTTGCGCGGGGTAAGCGCAATGAGGCACCGCGACCTCAGCCTAGAGCAGGAGAAGGAACGGGGGGGGGGGGGGGTTAGTCATAAAGAGTCTGACACTCTCATTGTCCATGATTGTCCATGTGGTGTATCTTGCTAACCGAAATTAGTTTTAACGTGGCTAAATTAAAAACTCAAATTAGCTTTTTATTTTCATTGGTAACAAACATTCTTTCCTTTATTCTACCTAGGTACCTAGTATTATAAATTACTTGGTAGGGGAAGGCTATATCTATTACTTTTGAGTGCAAACGCTAAGTTTTAAGAATAAAAATATAAAATATGGGGCAACTTTAGCTATAAATTAGTTGGTATCGGCCCACCTGTGGCCGTGGCCGTGGTTGTATCGCAGCTTGCAGAGTAAGCTGACTCAGCAGCTTGCCAACGTACGCCCGAGAATTATTGCTGGAATTTAAGTATTATTTTATATGAAACTATGCAGGTAGCTATCGTCTACAACTTCGTACGCGAAAAATAGTGCATGTTTTGTTGGCTAGAAATGTACATATGTTTTATTTTAAAACACACATATGTGAAGACGTGTAAGCATTCATTTATATTCTTGAGTTTTTTGCGTGACCTGGGTTGAACTTTCTAATAAACAGATAAACGTTAAATATATTTATCAATATAGAAATAGCAATTCGTTGAGAGCGCCTGCTAAAGTACTATAGCTATAAACTACAAACAGCAATTTGTTGCTTTCTCTTTATTTAGGAGTTTAACATCAATGATATTATAAGTAAAAAGGTGTAGATAGGTTACAAGCGCTCAGCAAGTGATACATTTGGCTAACATATTTTCATATTTGTCTCTTTTTCACTCGCGATTATTGAATCATGCCATCCCACTTTAACGTGTATCATACGATTTATTCATGTGTGCATAAGTGTAACCGTTTTTGAAAATCGAAGGTTGTTTATGTACCTAACCTATCTATACCATTAAATTTTACTTATAATATCATTGGTTTAACATGGTATAAATTCAAACAAAATTTCGTTTTCAGAACTATAAAAATCTACGCTCATTACACCTAAAACGTAAGTAGTGACATCTACTTTCCCAATCGTGAAAAACTTCAATATTTTATAACTTTATCAGTAGGGTAGGTACTTTTCAAACAGTGACTGCAAGTGATGATAGCAACAAAAGCGGCCAGTGTGAACAATCACATCTTGTCTGTAGCTCGGAGAGGAAACAGCCGTCAAAGTTACTCACAGTTTATAGCGTGGAGTTTTAACACGAAGTAATTCTATCAGAATTATCTAGAAGGTATATTATATTAGTTATAATATTTAAAATTAACTTATTGGTCTTGTGATCGCAATATTTTAACAACCAAATTTGTTCTCGGATTTTTTTTTATGTAATATAATGTACGAGTGTATACCTGCAGACGGATTACCTGATGGTTAGCAAGCAGCGCCGCCCATGGACACCCAATACTCAATACTCAATCATTTATTGCATTCCACAATGTGTTTCTTAGGTGGTAAATTATAAAATATGTGATCATCATGGCCCTGACAAAGGAGGAGCTACGAGTGCTTTGCCGACCTTAAGATTAGGGATTTTTAGATTTTGGGATCTGTCTGCTCGTTTGCTGACTTATTACATAAAAAATGAGTCATTATGCTTGACATAATTAATATTTTCTTTTTTTTATGTAATAGCTCGGCAAACGAGCAGGCGGATTACCTGATGGTGAGCAATCAGCGCCGCCCATGGACACTCGCAACGGAGGAGTTACGAGTGCGTTGCCGACCTTTTAGGGATTAGGGATTTGGAGATTTAGGGATTGAGGAGGGATTGGGGAAGGGGAAGGATTGGGCCTCCGGTAACCTCACTCACACGGCGAAACACAACGCAGTGGTTATTTCACGCCGATTTTCTGTGAGGCAGTGGTATCACTCCGGTCGAGCCGACCCATTCCGGCCGAAGCATGGCTCTCCCACACTTAGATCCCATGATCCCGTTTTTCTAGTTAGATCCCGTGAATGCGTAACAAAAATGTTTTAAGTTACTTCATGTATAACATTTAGATGAATCTGCTAAAACCTAGTTGGGCAACGGCTAACAGAAAGAAGAAAGACGTCTTAGAAATCATAATTCTTCTTTAGGCTCCTAGCTTGCTACAATGTATCAAACGCTTTTTAAATCGGTTTTCTGCCGATATTCCTATATAGTTTAGTGCCAAAATCTTCTGAGAAGAAAAAAGTTAAGAGTTATTCAAGTGTGAGGAAGTTTGTCAGGTCGCTTTGAGTCTTCGTGTCATTCCGTCGTCGTCGCTTTGTCTTGACTATCTCGTGTAGCAGCCGGCTGATCTGACTTTCACAAGTTTTTTCGAGAACTTAGATACTTAGTTTAAGTTGTCGTTACTTTAGGACCTTAGAATGGTGTAATTACTCATTCTAAGTTTAGGATGTAGTTCTATAAGAAGATTTACGGTTAGGTTTCAAAGATGAATAATGTTTAAGATAAATATACTGAATACTAACACTTTTTGTATTACAATATTTTTTTATTATATCGGAAAACGAATTCCCTAAATCTCCGAAACCCTGGTACCCAAAAGTCCGGCAACTCTTTCGTAACTCCTCCGGTGTTGCGTGTGTGAAAGGGCGGTGCCGATTGCTTACCATGTGTGGTTATTTGCCGTCCTATCACATATATACGATTCTGGGTGTGTCATATATCTTGTGGACAGAACTTATTTATTAATATAACATTATGAATATACTTATTATTAACTGCAAAAAAATGTTTTTTGAACTGATATGGTGAGTTTCTTTTAGTAATGATATAATTAGAAATTCCTTCTCATCCTTGTGATGACACAACACGTAAAAAACACAATTACCTCAGTATTTGATAATTTCTCCGAAATAAGAAACAGAATATGATAAGGGTAGGTACAGCTGCAATAATAATTTACGTTCTTGTATTAAGTGCCTAGTCTTTAGTATAGTCTGTGGTACCGTACTAAATATTATCTGTGGTAGAGCTAATGATGTTCGCGTAAAGTGTCGTTCCTAAAACATTGCGATTGTTGTTACGATGTTTATAATAAGTACTAGGTACTTATTTTAATCAATATTTCTGTGTTATTAGCACTGAATCGAAAAGTACGCTATTCTATTTAAAATACATGACTTAATCACGTGGTCGAGGTCGAGGTGGATGTTTATTTTACAAGTAGGTAGGTACCTTTTTTACCCGACTACGGCAAAGCAAAAGGAAGGTTATGATTTTGACAGGCTATGTATGTATGTATGTATGTATGTTCATCTGTTCCCTCCTAACTTTTATACTACTTATCAGAATTCGACATATGACATATTATTAGAAACGTCTTAATTGTCCGCTGGTTATAGGCTATATGATGTATCACAAAATCTAATGTGGCGTCCTCTAGCGGACAAAACAACCAGGGTTAAGATAATTATACCGTGTTTGGTATCATTTTATTATCTATACTTGTTATTATTCCTGCTATAACTTCACTAAGAGGACTGACCGCCAGACTGGCACTATTTCGTTGCGGGATCCAAGACAGTCATTCATGTCCCTGGGACGCGCCGGACTTCAGTGTTCCGTTGTTTACATGGTTGTATCTACTGTAGATTCTGGCTAACAGGTGTAGGCGTCGTTTGCCGTGTATTGCCCTATCATATAAAAAAAAATCTTTATACAGTGAGGTATTTAACAAAAAGGTTTATTGTTTTATTATACTGTTTATTTAGTAGGGATGATGTCTGTCTTTTTATTCAGTGTACATTCAAAATTATTTCTTAAAATAATGATTTATAATTTAATGATCGATTTAACTTCAAGTTTACTTTTTTTTCTAGTTAATTTAAGCGAAATAATAAATGAAGTAACTTAACTTTACTTGTAATCAAATATGAAACATATTTAACCCAAAATATTCATAAAAAACTCATAATGTCAATATTGACATATGTATAAATGGTATAAATGATAGTTTATAATAATCTGTGGTCAATGCGTTGTTTTTGGCATTTAAAAAAAAAAACTTATGCATAGTCAAGGCATAGTATATAGTCCATATAAAAGAATTATTTTCTATTGTAGTTGTCGTGCTTATTTTGTTTTAAAGTAGGTGGATGTAAAAAGGTTGACATATTCGTATACCTATTACATTACCTAGTAACAGTAACTTGAGTTCGATGTTCTCTCGTTACCCATTCATGAGTAGCTCGCGTGCTCCAATCACAGCGGCGCGCACTGCACTCCGTAAATGAAATCTGTTCCGCATTTACATTTGAAAAAAGTATACTTTACATATTGTATTTTTTATTCATGTGGTGTGGTCGTAGTGGCTCGGATGTTAAAGAGTTACTTTTGTGGGAGTTAAATTGTAAATCTTTATCACGTCACATCATCGGCCTATTGGTGCCCACTGCTGAGCAAAGGCCTCTTTTCAAACGGAAGAGGTTTGAGCATTGATCACCACGCTTGCTCAAGGCGCATTGGGCGTTACGGGTTAGTTAGTTCTGGTTTTCACAAGGTGTTATTTTCACTGTACCTATGTCAGTGGTGTCTAAATAATCATGGAAAATACTTACATATAACTCAGAAAAAATCATAATGGTACTTGCCAGGTTTCGAATCTGCACCCTCATCCATAAAGAGCGGGTGCCTAAGCGTCAAATGTTAGTTGTCGGTCATCGCTGAAAATCAGCGTTGCGACACTGTCTCGCATAGTGTCGCTGCATATGCTGAGCGAGGGCCATTTTGCGTGCTCGCGACTCATATTTTTCCTTATATTACTCTTTTTATGTTGTATAACTATGTATGTTCTTTTTTGTTTTATGTTTATACACTTGTTTTATTTTGTGTTTTATGTGCGTCCTAGACTCGAATAAATACTTTTTCTTTCTTTCTCTCTTTCAAATCAATTGGGAACAGAAAAAGGTATCTGTTACAGCGCCTAACCCATGTACACATGTAGCACACAGCAAATCTATGTATAATTGCCATGCTTATATAATCAGGCGTCACGCAGCGAGTTAAAAGTGTCAAAGTTCACTGTTCGCCGTGGTTCCCTCACTGTTAGCATTACTTTTTGTCACTATATTTTTAAATTATTTATATGGCTTTCATATTACTCCATTGTGTATCAAAATATATAGTGACGTTTTTACAGTAGGTATGCACCTATTGTTTAAAACCCCTATAAAGACAAAAATTTCGATTCATGAGACACTGAATTTATTTTTGTAAATAGACATAAAACAGCGCTTTTATTCATCAATATTACATACATATAAAATAGATTAAACTGAGAATTTCCAATCTGAATACTTACTGAGAAGAAATGCCGAAACAAACATCGAAGTCAGTCTCGATAACAGTCCAGACGAATGTAAAATAATACTCCAGTATTATAATAATACTTCTGTTTTATAATAATACTTCCACAATATTTTATACTAGCTACTCTCACGCAGTTTCACCCGCTGCTCAGCTTCATTTGATCGTAGCGTGATGTTTTAAAGCACTCAGGAACCTTGTAGCTATCTATCAGTGAAAGAATTTTGGCAATCTGACCAGCGGTTCCAAAGATTACCCCCTACATACCAACTTACAAATTTTACCTCTTTTTAATATTGGTATAGATTTGTCTTGAACCGTAGATTGCTAACGTAGAACCATAATATATTACTGAATGCATATTGTACTGTAAGATCACTTTCAACTATCGAAACAGAATAGACAAGACTAAACAAACATAAGTATCATTTAATCCTCCAACAAAAAAAAAAAAAACCTCAAAAACTCAATCTGAATACTCTAAAAAAGCTACCACAGAGAATACCTTTTAGTACCAATAGTACAGGTGAGACGGAACCCTTTTTATCGGGGTTCTCGCAACCATTGTCATTTTGAATGTACTTGAGTGGGTCACATAAAGGAGCTTTTGTATCCTTCACGGAATTTACAGAGCGAATGAATTGAATCCTGCCTTCCTACCATTTACTGTGGAGCTGTATAGAATTTTCTGGAACAATCATTTGTGTAGCCACTTACTAAGTATTGTCTTACACATTCGCGTTGAACGTGAATTAAGTTAGAGTCATGGTAAATAATTGGCAATATTTTTAGAGGTCCGAAGGTTAATTTACCCGCTGCTGCTAGAGGTTCGAAATCTAGGTAGAAGGTAAGTACTACGTGTTTCTAAATATAGCGAAGGAACCCGGGCGTATAGTTTGAAAATCGCTAATCCGCTGTAAAACGTGAAGAATGCTAAAACATTCTCCGTGTGAGAAGAAACCTCTGTTTAGCAGTGGGCACTGGGCACTTCATAGGCTGATGATGTTTGTATTTAGAAATATTTACTGAAGTGTACAAGACGGAGACGCAGACACAGATGGAATACCTGATGGTAAGCAATCAGCGCCACCCATGGACACCCGCAACGGAAGAGTTACGAGTGCATTGCCGACCTTTTCGAAATTAGAGATTTGGAGATATAGGGACTCGGGAGGGATTGGAGAAGGGGAAGAATTGGGCCTCGGGTAACTTCACTCACACGGCGAAACACAACGCTGTGGTTGTTTCACACCGGTTTTCTGTGAGGAAGTGAGTCGTTTATTTACCGAGTGCATTGCCGACCTTTTCGAAATTAGAGATTTGGAGATATAGGGACTCGGGAGGGATTGGAGAAGGGGAAGAATTGGGCCTCGGGTAACTTCACTCACACGGCGAAACACAACGCTGTGGTTGTTTCACACCGGTTTTCTGTGAG